ACGGCGAGGCGCCGGCTGGCGGCCCGCTGCCCGGCGCCCGGACGCGGCAGGAAACCACGCTGGCGCCAGCGCGCTGGCTGGCGCGGGCGGCTCTTCCACGGCCCCGAGCGAGCTGACGCGCGGGGCAGCTGGCTCTGCCCTGTCGCCGCCGGTGGCTGGCTGCGGGTGAAGGTGACCTTCGCCGCCGCCGCCGCCGCGGCGCGTCGCCCTTTCGCTGGCTGCGGGACGGTGGGCTGCGGCGGCCGGGCGCGCCAGGAGCTGGGCGAATCGTGACCCACTCGAGACTCGCTGATTTGAAGACGAACAGCGCAGTGCTCTAAATCCGGCCGAAGCCGTGGGTGCATTGTCCGCTGCGGTCGAAGCTGCTTCGGGCGGCCCCGCCAACAGCGCTGTTGTGCACGGCGATCCTATTTTGGCGACATCGACCAGCGCCGCGCCACGGCCACGGCTGGCTGGCACCGGCCTTGTCCGCCTTCGCGGTCCCTGCCCCCCCTCGGCAGCCCATAGCCGGAGCCGGAGCCGGAGCCGGAGCCGAGGCGTGCCGTGCCGGCGCAGGTCCCCCTGGCGTGTGACGCTGCGACGGCTGGCGGCCGCGCCCGACAGACCGGCAGCTGGCGCCAGGGGCTACCCCTCCCTCCCCTCCCCGGCGGCGGCGGCGGCGGCGGCGGCTGCGGGCGGGCGCGCCGGCGCGCCTCGCCTCGCCGCCTCGCCTCCGCGCACGGGACGGCGGAGGCTGGCCCACTGGAGCGGCACGCGGCGACGGTGGGCCGCTTGTTCGCTCCGGAGGTAGAAAGGCCGTGGTGAGCGTGACAAGAGATGAAACGGAATATGCACGATGCGGCCATGTGGTCGTGCCTGTCACCGTGTCAAATGTATGGTGTTATTTGCGCATTTCAGAAAGGTGGCCTTACAGGCAAGCTCTTTTTCTCATTTCGATACTTTCACATGAATTTTGACTCAGGGTTTGAAATTTCGAATCAAGTCGCTTCAAACTATAATTCATCAGCTACGCGGGCCACTGAAGCTTGTCGCAGCTATCTATACAGTGAACCCCAACAAAACCACCGATAAAGATCATGTGACGTCCACGAACGATGCATTGGAAGTCACCACAGCGGGCGGGTCAGCCGAGCTGACCTCACGACCTCAGCGGCAGCGCGGCTGGCCGCCAGAGGTTGTGATGATTGCGCACTTCACCCACGTTAGGCCATCTCCTGACCCAGCGCCACAGTGTTGCTGAAGTCAACACGGACGCGTCTGTGCGCTCCTGCAAGGATGCTCATCGGGCCGGTGAACGCGTCTTCTTTGTGGCGGATGGCAGAATCGGCTCACTGGGTGGGGGGGGGGGGGGGATTTGACAGATGGCTTGACATAGATGACAGGCGGCTTGACATGGATGGGCTTGGCATGGGCAATAGACGTCTGGGGGAGTGATTACTTTATATTTCCTTCTTATTCTTGTATGTAAGAGATACTTGATGTTCTCTTCTGACCCGGACAAAACAGGCTGCTCGTCCATTAGAGCGATGGAGAAGCCTCAACAGCTGCGCTGCGCTGTGCTGGATCTCCCGTGGTCCCGATGCATGCTGGTTGTTGGGGCGCTCGTGTCGTATAGGTGGTGGATGGTAGGTGGTAGCTAGACTTACAGACACTCTCTGCTTGTATGCTCGCCTCCCCTCTCGTAGAAATGTGACAGTGGAGAGCCTAGTGTGTTGGCCATTTGTCCCAAGGCAAGTAAACTTTGGTGTGTCTCATTCATTCCATAGATCACATTGTTGGTGCTCTGATCTGGAGTGCGCTAACGAAAGCGCCCTGAAAGTTATCTCTCATGAGCGGCTTCTTATGGCGAGGTGAACAGCCGGCGGACCCAGCACCGTACCTCTAGGCAATGTGTCGCATAACGACATGGTTACCGCCCATGGGCCACAGGTCATTGATGTGGCCAATAATGCATGCTGTTTTCCTATATGGTGATCCATCGGCTGTCTTACTTTGAATGGCGTATGCCCCATGGGTCGAGCATTAATACAAGGGTTTCTTTGGCTGCTGTTTTCGAACTTTTAACAAAATTTACACGAAAAGTATGGGGGCGGCAAGAAAGCAACTTCTTTTGGCTCATGGCGATATCTAATTGTTATTGCTGTTAGCTCATTGTAAGATTATCTAAGCGATTTGCTACGCGTTGCTGGTGCGCAGGAATAGCAGGCACATGCCACTTGACCATGCACTGTTTGAGGAGGCCGCAACATCGGTACGTGGCTTTCGATCTCCGTGAGCCAGAGGAGAGACGCTGCCGGCTCGCCTCTGCCTACATACGGAGCGTTGTCCAGTCGTCCGCGCATTCGCGTGCACGTCCGCCTTCGCATGTCCACGTCCGAACGTTCACGTCTGCGTCCGCATGTCCACGTCCGCGCCGTCTGAGTGTTCGCTGGCGCAATAGATCCCATTGGCCTCGACAACGCCCCTGGCATCGGACGTCGGCCGCCACCGGAGACAGTGAGGTTCACCACCAGCGGGCCAAAGCGCTCGGCGCCGCCCGTGGAGGGCGCGCCGCCCGGCGCCGCACCAGCAGCGAGTCTCGAGGGCGGCGGCCGCCGCCACCTGCCGGACCTCTCGAAGCCGGAGGAGGGCCGAGTGCCGGCGGCGGCTTTTGTATCGATCGGGCCCGGCGGCGCTCTCCGCCACGCGTCTCTTGTGAGTCAGGTGGAGCGGCGGCCCCGCGGCCCCGCGTGACCTGCCTGACCCGGTTGTCGGCGTGACCTCGGAGCGGGGTCACCGGCCTGAGCACGCGGCGTTGCCACCGATCTGGTCTCGAAGTAGGGTCACTGACCTGACCCCGCGGCAGCGGCGTCACCGGCCTGACCTCGGGGCGGCGGGGCCACCGGCCTGACCTCGCGGCGGCGGGGTCACTGGCTTGACCTCGCGGCGGGATCTGCTAGTCTGACCGCGCAGCAAGGTCACTGACCCGCCCCCGCAGCAGGGTCACCAGTCTGAGCCCGCGGCGGGTCACTGACTTGACCTCGCAGCGCGATCGCCGCCGCCACGTGGGAGAGGCTGAGGGCGATGGGTGGGGGCGGGGGCTTGTTTGGGCCGATGCGAGGCATGATGATTAGGATGCTGTGACCCCTGGCGGTTGACGCAAAGCATATCCCAAAAGTACGTTGGAAAGCATTTTACTCGTTGCCGATACCGACGATACTTGTCGTGGCACCTCCATGAACACGATTTTTCCACTTGAGTCTTCAAGTCATTTTGTCCAGCACTGGGCAACCCCATAGTAGCAGCTTGGTACATATCGGCATAGTAATGTTCATTTCGACTGTCAGCGACTTGTCTGTCTTTTTGGGCGGTTAAACCCAAAGGCCTAGCGGTCCGCAAAATACTTGCAAGCTTCCGTACTCCTTACGATGCTTGCATTTTGTACACTGTTCGCGGAGCTCGCCTAGCCACCGAAACCAGTGCCATTTCCGAAGGGCGTTGGTCCTGTCTGGGGGCGGGGCTCATCCGTGCGTCCGACTCACGCCGTCGTCGCACTCCTAGGAGAGCAGAACCTCGTCATGCATGACGAAAAGGACGTGGCATGCCGGGAATGGTCCTGAAAAATGGCTGGACCGGTGCCGCAGGTGGGCGTCGGTCGTGCCGATGTCCGGCAGCGAGGCCGCGGATGTCTGCCGGTGGCGGCGGCGGCGGCGGTGGCGCCAGCGCCAGGTACCCCTGCGCCTGCACCTGAGCACCTGTTTGGTGCTCCGGGTCGTATCGATCCCAGGGCTCGGATTTACTGCCGACAGGCGGGGCCTCGTCGGGGATGTGCGGACCTCTTCAACCGACCGGACCGCCTGCGGCCCGACTCCGGCCGGCACCGGAGGCGGTCCGTTCCCAGAGTCGACCGCGCCGGTCGACTCCGAAATGGGCACAATAGCTGGCGTGGGGGGGGGGGGATGGAGCCCAGAGCACCGGCTGGTCTGTGGGCAGCCAGAAATTGCGGCGGTAAAAATTGCAGCTGTTAATTTGATATGGTTTGGGAGCATTGGGTCACGACATTGTTTCAGGCAAGTAACTAGTTCCAAGTTTATATCCGTCCGGCGTCGGAAGACTTTTCCGCGTGGAGTGCAACGTTTACAGACTGTTAGGTTATAACATATTGTAATTTCGGAATGGGCGCTATATGGCCAGAGTACTCGGTGGCCGCCCGAGCCATCATCATCATAATTGCTATTTCGCACTCTAACATACCTGCTTCCAAGGTGAAATTCTTTTTTCCCAAATACATCATTAGAGGTTAGTCATTCACCAAGGCTTCATATTTATTTTGATTTTCCGTTTAAGGGCTACCTTTGTTTTTGTGCTCCTACACCGCCATATCGGCGATTGACAATATGCCTAAGTGAGATTCTCTTTTTTCAGCGGTCCTCTTCTTTTTGCCACTTCTTTCTAACTGCACAACTTTCTTCACTTTTGAAAATGACGCCATAGCGACATTTTGGCCTAATGGGTATAGCGCAGTCGTCGTACATCTGTGAGACCCGCGTGTGGTGCACCATTAGTCATCATTTTGGGTTGGTGAGGCGTTGCCTTTGCGTAGCGAATGACCAGTAGCGCATTCGTGTTGTCGTGGAGACTCGTCAACAGTGGATGTCGCACGAGTATCAATGATACGCTACGCTTTTTGCCGAGCTTTGCTGGATAACGTGGTTTGCGCAAACAACCGCCCTGCAAATGCGCTCTGGACAGACTGGTTTTAGAAGCAATTTTACTCGAGGCTCCCTTCGTTTATGCAGCATGCGCAGGGCGCGAATAATTATTTACAGACTTGCAGACGTCTGGCCGCGTCTCGCTCTTGGTTTGGCTTGCGCCGAAGAAGCCTACACTGGACCTGCTCTCACAATCTTCAAACGCTTCGTGTTATCGGCTGCTTGAGGGACAGCAGCGTTGGTGCCGTCTGGCCGAGATAAACCTTTATCGGGCTCGGGCGGCACGCTGACCGGCCCCTTTGTTCGCAGGCGCGCCGACATGGCGGACAGCAGCGACGACGCCGAGCCGCCGACCGTCGTCGGCGCCGACGACGAGGCGCTCGACGGGATGGGGCCGACGCCAGCCGATCCGGCGGTCGATGATCGGCCGGCACAGGCCGACGCCGGAGCGAGCGCGTCGGACGCGTCAGAGCAGGAGGGCGCGCCCAGCGAGCAGGAGTTTGACGAGGCGCAGCTCGACTCAGCCGACTCGGAAGACGGCGATAGCAAGAAGCCGTTGCCGGCGTGCAAGCTAAAGCGCAACTACTATTGCAAAGTGTGCTCGTTCAGTACGACGAATCCTCGCGAGTTTCTGTATCATCAGAAGGAGGTGCATCGTGCGAAGCTGCAAATCAACAAATGCCCGCACTGCATATACGCGTCTCGGTGTAAAGTGAAGTTGAATCGCCACGTCCGCATGGTGCATGAGGACAAGTCGTTCAAGCAGGAGGAATCACCTGAGAAGTCATTGACTATTGCCTGTTCTCCTCCACTAAAAGAAGACGAGGACGACGAAGAGGGAATTGAGGAAGAAGAAATCGAGGAAGAGAGCATGCTCTCGTTAAAGGAATTGGAGGACAGGGGGGCTGAGATTCTCAGGGAAGAAGATATTGAAGAAGAAATGACAACGGCCCTCTCGCATAAGTCTTCGAGGTCTCGCAGTGACCTAAAAAAGAAGTTTTATCGCTGTTCGAAGTGTCAGTACATGACCCACATCAAGTCTCGCTTCACCAAGCATGTCAAATACCACTCCATGCCGATGATCAAGTGCGAGCTTTGCGAATTTCGCACGCCTTACAAGTGGAACCTGGACCGCCACATGAAGAATCACAGTGGCAGCGGCGAGTTCCAGTGCAACCAGTGCAACTTCACGGCACACATCAAGCAGAGCCTGACGGTGCACATCCAGAACCACCACCTGCCGGCCAGTCAGGTTCTGGAGAAGCTGCGTGCCAAGTGTAACGTGGGCGGCTCGGATGTCATGGACCCGACGGACCCGTCCGCCGAAGTGGTCGAGGTCGACGAGGAGGAGATGCTGCGCCTGGAGCGCGAGGAGGACATGGACGAGGACGACGTGGAGCAGGAGGACGTGAAGGCGACGAAGGAGGCGTCGCGGCCGAGGGTCAAGCTGACCGCGCGCAAGACGATGCCATCAGCTCGCGCGAGCGCCGAGAACAGCGAGCGGCACGACTTCGATAACGACTTCGTCCACCCGGATGACGTCGTCGAGCGCAACGGCAAGATCTACATCAAGGACTTGAAGTGTTCAGTGTGCAGCTACAAGACACTGTACGAGAAGGACCTGCTGCGACACGAGTACTCACAGCACGGCGTCGTGCGCAACGGCGTCATCCCGCCGGTGTTCAGCGCGCCGAAGCCAGCGCCACCCGTGGCGACCATCGTCAGTGCGCAGGCGCGCGCGCCCGCCGCGCTGCTCGTGGCCGCACCGGTCGCCGTCGAGAAGCCCAAGCCGAAGCGGCCGCCGCCCAGCCTGATCCCGATCCCCAGCTTGGCGTCACAGCCGGACGGCGAGGGCTCGGAGCCGGACGCGGACGCGGACGCGGCCGAGCGCGCCGACGCCGAGAGCGTCGACGGCGACTCGCCAGAGGCGGTGGCCATGAACGAGCGGGCCGAGCGCGCCGCCGAGGAGTTCCTCTCGGCCAAGCCGACCGAGGCGGGGCCACGCTCAGTGCTGGATCGGCTCTTCTGCAAGAAGATGGCGGCGGCCGGCGCCGACGCGCCCAAGTCGGATGAGACGAAGCCGGCGTCCGGCGCGCCGCCCGGTGGCAAGCAGTTGTCGCGTGGGACGTCCACCCGCTGCCAGTACTGCCGGCACCGTTGCAAGACCACCGACGACCTGCGCACGCACCAAAAGACCTGCCCTGAGGCGACCAAGGACAAGGCGGCGACGGCGGCCGACGAACCTGACGCCGAGAGGAAGGTGTTCGTGTGGAACTCAGGGACGGCCGACGCTGAACAGGTGGGCGAGGAGAAGACGGTGTTGGAGAAGGAGTTGAAGGTGGTGGGGGAAGTGGTCGCCGATGAAGACGGTGGCGCTTCACCGGAGGCCAACGGCTCGCCGAAGACGCGCTCCCACGGACCGGCGAACGACTCAGATGCCAACGCTAAGATGGTGACGCGGAGAGTTTTCAAGTGCCCCAGCTGCACCTTCTGGGCGACCACGGCGTCACGCTTCCACGTGCACCTGGTGGGCCACATGAACATGAAGCCTTACGAATGCTCCGAATGTGGCTACCGCTCCAACTGGCGCTGGGATATCACCAAGCATATCAAACTGAAGTCGGCCAAGGACCGCAGCCACCTGCGGGCGAAGCTCTTCATCAACGACGGCGGCAGCACGCGCGACTACGACAAGTATGACGTGTACCTCGAGTACATGGAGGTAGAGGAGGGCCTGCAGTGCAAGCCGCAGGTGAGCTCCGCGCCGCGCAAGCGCTCCTACTCCGTCTCTCCGGCGTCGCAGTCGGCGGCCGGGCTGCCGCGGCCGCCGCGGCCGCCGCTGCCGGTGCGGCCCGGCCTGCCGGTGCCGCCCAACGTCACCATCACGTCCCGCTACGGCGGCCTGCCGCAGCCCGTGTACGAGCCGCCGCTGATCGGCAACCCTCCGCTGGCGCGGATGCCGATGCCGCCGCGCCTGACGCGCGCGCCCATCGGCCCGCTGCGCGGCGGCCCGCCGCCAGCCTTCCGCCACGTGGGCTTCAAGCAGCCGCTGCTGGACCTGCGCTACCCGGTGCGCGGCATGCTGCTGCAGGGCGTGCGCCTGCCGGGCGTGCCGCTGGTGCGGCCGCTGGCCGAGCCGCCGCGCGCTCGTCCCGAGAAGCCCGCGGCGCCGGCGCCCAGTCTGGAGTCGCTGAAGCGCATGGACCCGGCGCTGGCCGCCATGGGCATCACGGACGAGAACACGGCCATCGTGATGCCAGAGCCGCCGCCGGACGCCACCGCCGCTGCCGCCGCCGCTGCTGACCCGACCGGCAAGAAGGCCACCGTCTGGCGCTGCAAGAAGTGCAACTTCAAGTGAGTGCGAGCTCGTCCTGCTCTGCCAGCTGACAGATCGGCGCGAGTTTGGCCACGCGCTGTTTGCGCAAAATTAATTAATACATGTACGTTGTCATCACGACAAAAGGTGAGTTTGCGTAGTCTCTGTGATAGATGTTAGTGTTCCCGTGGTCTCCCTCCATTTTATGTCACAACATTCGGCTGTAAGGTAAATACGACATCACATCCGTATACGCACGTACATACATGTATACACACGCACACGCACGCACGCACGCACGCATATATATATATATATATATATATATATATATATATATATATATATATATATATATAATGTGCGTGTATATTATATATAGAGAGAAGCCTAATATGCATATATATATATATATATATATATATATATACACATTTATCATTTGTTGTTTGATAATCCACAAGCCGTGCAAGACGTCAGTCGCGCGCGGTATTCTTAGCGTTTTTAGAATGTGGCTTATACGAGAACTGGAGGATCACTTTGGTAAGCGTCTTCCCACTAGTAATATTGATGCATCTGGCAGCGTTTCACAAACAACACTGATTACACCCTTGGAGCCGTCTCTCGGGTGTGAGCCTCCACCGTGGAGACGCCGCGCGCTGTGGAGGCTCGCGGCAGCCGCGTCACGCGCCAAGCGGTGTGTTGCAGACACAAGGACCGCCGCATGATGCTGGCCCACGTGGCCAAGCACACCAACCGAGAGAAGTACAACTGCGGCCACTGCGGCAAGCCCTCCAACTGGCAGAGTGTCATCCGGGTAACTAGCGCGCCCGCGTCGCCAGGCTCGCGCTCCCGGTGGCGGCTGTGCTTACCGTTCCAGCCCTAACCCCTCCCCCACAGAGGAGCTGGGACGGCGGAGCGGACTGACCGGCCTGGCGGTGGTGCGGGCTCTCTTTCGCTCCCCCCTCTCTTTCTCTCTCTCTCTCTCCGTCTTCCTGCCTCGTTTGGCATGCTTGTGACTGACCACGGTGGAGGTGCTGTAGCGGCCATTCTCTCTCTGTCTCCGTAGGCATGCCGACCGAGAGGTGGTGCGGGCCCACTACCGCTCGCACAGCGCGCCCTACTCCTGCGGCCACTGCGGCCAGTCCTCCAAGTGGAAGCACGTAGCTGCAGGTGTGTAGTGGGGACGCTCACGCGCGTGCTGGGTCTGGTCCCTTTGGTTGCTTTGCTCTACATGAGGTGAGCAGTGAATGCCACCGATGAAAAGGGGTGGAATTGGGATATTGGTGAATTTCTTTCATGATGTTAAGTTCAAATTCATGGTGGTGATTTGGTGCTTAAGGTTGTGTCGGCATCGGGGCCATTTTGCGCCCACTAGTCCAATCCCCGTTCGCACGCGGCTACTTCAGGGAGTTTTGACCGTCAATTTCCGGACCGCTAATCTCAAATATCCTGATTGTATCGTAATGAGAACACTGACCAATGATGGTCTCTCACAGTGGATCGAAACAGATGGAGACTCAGCTGACTCCCTTGACCAGCATAAAAACAACCCCTGTTTGTTGCACCAACCAGTTGGGGGAGGAGGGGGGGGGGGGGGGTACATGGTGATATGCTCCGTTTTGCCTCGGAGTTCTGCGCTGTGTCCCAATCGTCGCGATTTAGGTCCAATGAAAGGTGATGGGACGCTGGACAGCTGCAGCCATCACACGTCCTCAGATGCGAAGGCAGTATACGCCATGGCGAAGCATCCCCCCCCCCCCATTCATTTCATTCATTCGTGGTCCGCAGCGGCACTGCCGGATGAAGCACAACGGCGACGTCTCGGTGGTGGAGAACAAGCTGGAGACGGAGGACCAGCCGCCACAGAAAGCGGCATCGCAGAAACCCGGCTCTGATGTCACCATCTCCGTCGTTAATAAACAGGGCGACAGCGGTAAATAACTCAGCAATTCTGATCTCCGCGGCGAGGCGGTCCTTGTGACGCGGCGTGGTGGCGTCGCTTCTCAGCCTAGTTTGTGTTCTCCGGTATTTAAGTGCCAGCCGAAATATACTCGGTTACAGCATTGTTTGACACTAATATTGTGTCCTATTTGTATTGTTCTGGTGATTTTTATTTTCGGACCAAAGGCGCTCGAGACAGGAGAGGCACCCACTCTGTTTAATTCACATCTTTCCTTTGCATTCAGTCATCTACCCGCTTAGTGTTTTGGTGATTCCATTGATATTTACACATTCATTGATTGCATTGACTGTCATGATTCATTGTAGCATTTTCTGCTCGCACTGCGACACGTGCACCAAGCTGTTCGTGTCTGTACCACCTTCATGCTTCTCATCACGTCTAACCGATACACCAGTACGGTTCTCCGCTTGCATACATTTGTTGTCATGTTGCGAGCGCGGCGGTGTTAGGCTGCCCGTTCGTAAGTGACTTGTGTCGGTGCCGTTGGCAGCCACGGGCGGCGTCTCGTTCCGGTGCGACATCTGCTCATACACCTGCGCCAACACGGACGAGACGATATCGGCACACATGCAGCACCACACGCCGCAGCCGGGCGCCACCTTCAAGTGCATGTTCTGTCCATACTACGTGGGCACCAAAAAGTACGTTACCAGGAAGTGCCCGTTAAGCTTTCTGATGTTTCCTCGAGATGGCTGCTGAGTAGCAAATCAAGAATAGGGGTTTTTCTTTAAATTTTGTCGGGTGATTTTGCCGACAGTGGCAAAGGTGTAGTTCAGCAAAATAAGTTTGGGGTAGGGGGAAGGTGAGGACTAAGTGGGGAAAGGGGCTAAACCTGCCTCTCAGAATACACTGAAATGGGTTCTTTCCGAATTGAACCCAGTTCCTTCCGCACTTGGAGGATGGAAGGGGCTGGAGCGCTCTCCCCCCTACGGAATCCCCCCCCCCTGCGCCCCCAAACCATGCCGTGCAATTTAGTCGTTCTCGCGCGAAGTGACTCCGCAACTATGTACAATTTCTCTGCGGTGGTGCTGATCGATGATTCTGGGTTTTCGACCGCGGCTGTCCCAAAGCTAAACGTTTATTACTTTGTCTTAGCAGTAACTGAGCAATGTTCAAGTTCTCATAAAATGGAGCATGACCCTGCGCGGGTACGAATGTGATGGGGTGCATCAGCGCCTGTCTGTTACATCCGCTTTTCTGGAGCACTTGGCAGGGGCGGATGCAGTATTATGTCAAGGGGGGGGGGGGGGCGCGCAACATTGTAGGCCCCTTGGAGTTTGGGCCCCCCAAAATCATTGGTTTTCGCCACTAAAATGTAAGATAATGATAATGTTGTTTTTTTGTACGGAAAACCATTTTCCTGTGCGCAGCCGTGGAAAACTAGGCGTGCGCATTTGTAGATAGATAGAGCGCGTTCATTGAAGAGCTCACAACCAATGCGGAGTGCTCCGGAACGATCAAGGCTGCCCGGTCGGTTAACATTTAGATCCCCGTCAACAGCGTAGGCCCTCCAATAAAGTTGGAAAACCTGAGGCCTATCGGATAGGCACCTGAGCAATCGAGCGATCGGGGGTGCCGCGAAGGGTCAACGAAGAACCTCCCGTCAACTCTAGGTTCTCAGAGCAAACGGGCAGAACCCTAAACCAACGCGGTGCCTTAGAAAATCAGGAGTGTCCTGGCAGGTTAACTCATAGGGCGCCGGCCAGAGCCGTAGGCCCTCCGAGGGAACGGGGAAAACCCGAGAGCAGTGCAAATGAATTAATGCCCTTGAGTGATCGAAAGTGCCGGGGCGGATGAACACATAAACCTCCCAACAACAGCATAGTATCACGCGAGCGAATATGGAGTGTCCAAGGCTAATGGGATGAGTCCTGGTGCGATCAAGAGTGCCCAGGTTTGTTAACAGAAAAGGCACAAGAGTGTAGGGCCCTCCGCAAATGGGATCCAACGAAAAGTGTTCTAGACCAAGGCAGAAGGCCTCTGAGCATCGAGTGCCGCGGTGCGTTAACTTATATGGGCCCAGTAATAGCAGACGGCCCTCCAAACCAGTGGAATGAACCCGAGACCATTGTGAAGGGCTCCTTAGCAACCGAGAGTACCTCGGCAGGTTAGCATGCGGGGCCCCAGCAACAGCATAGGACCTCTAGACAGCTTAATGAGCCTCAAAACCTCACCAATGCCCACGGTATCAATCAGCGAAGAATTGTTTTTGCCTGTTCATGGTTTCTTTTCTTCCGCTTACGACTGTTCTCGGCCGCCTTGAGCCCAGACGTCTCGTTTTGCTACGTTTTGTGTTTAAAAAACTTTTGTTCAGCCAGTTATGGGCTCATTCAGAGCCTATGGGGCCCCCGCGGGCCCGGGGGGGGGGGGGCGTGACCCCTTGCGTCCTTCCTCTGGATCAGCCACTGGCACTTGGCGTTACAGGGACGTGGCATCGGAGTTTACGAGTGCGGGTGTCTGTAGACGAATGTGTGCCACCTGCGCCGGGTGTCAAAACGGTCATAGTCAGAGCTGGGGACGGAGAGATCCTCCAAAATTGACGGATTCCGGAACGGAAGGGCGGGGCGTGCTTAGGACAAACTTGAATGTGCAGAAACCCGTAAATTCTGGATGATGTGTTAGTTTCGCCACCAACAGTCGATGGGTCCCGTTGTCCACGAGGAACGATTTCCAATTTCGTCTCCAACACGGTCCGTCACCGTCCAGCGCTTCACCTGTTCCCGATCGGGGCCCCAATCCGCACTGAACCTCTAACGGCGCACATCTCCTGCTCACAGGGCGCTGTGCGACCACATGATCCTGCACGGCGTGACGTCACCGCAGCACTTCCTAGCGCAGAAGACCCGGGAGTCGGCCGGCGCGGTACAGGTCGCTCCGCCGCCGGCAGAGGTACGGCCGCCTGTCGTGGTGCAGCCGCGAGCGGCGGCCCTCCGGTCGCTGCTCCTCGCTTACCGCCGGCCTAAGCCAACGTAGTCGTCCTCCCGACCTCTGTCCGCATCATGCGGAAGACACGTCAAATGGTGTCATTTGTATTTCGTGCTGCACTCTAAGCAGCTGATCCTGTTCTTCAGCCTCAGCGCTAACGTCGCGGTGCGTTCTGACACCATCTCCGCCGTTTCCGCAGCCGTTCGAGCCGGTTGAGCTGGTGCAGGTGGGCCCGGCCGAGCCGCAGAGCGCTAACAAGCCGTTCCGCTGCACCCACTGCCCGTTCTCGACCGACTCCAAGAGCCAGTTCCTGCACCACCGACAGTTCCACATGCCGCGTGGCATGCCTTACCGCTGCCCGGCCTGCTCATACGGCGTGGCGCAGCGCTCGCACTTGATCCAGCACGCGCGCTTACACGGCCTGCAGCCGCGCGCCGGCGGCACCGGCACGGGCACCGGCGCCGGCACCGGCACCGGCACCGGCACCGCCACCGGCGCCGGCACCGTCACGGGCGCGGGCACCGGCGCCGGCGACCGACCGCGCCGCTCTCTGCTGAAGCCTGAGCGTAGCACCGTGTCCGGCCCCGTGCTGCGCGACTCCGAGACGCGCCTGCTGGACGAGGTGCCGCTGGTGTGGGTGTCGCGCGGCGGCAAGTTCTTCAAGATGTTCAAGTGCCGCCAGTGTCCGCACGTGAACCTGCGCAAGAGCAACATCCAGGACCACGAGCGGATGCACACGGACCGGGACCTGGCCGGCTATGCGCACCGCTGCACCAAATGCAACTACGTCTGCATCAACGCCGGCGTCCTCTCGGGCCACCTCAAGGTGCACACCTACTGGCTGGGCAAGATCCACGCCGTGGTTGACATGAAGAAGACGGACGAGGAGCAGCTACGCGAGATCCTGGGCGAGGACTCGGTGAGCGACGTCGAGGTGCTGGTCGACAAGACGCTGGCGCTGCCGGCGCCGTCGCCTGCTGCCCCGGCGCCGGCGGCGGCGGTGACCGAGGGCGGCGGCGACCCAGAGCGCATCCTCTACTTCTGCCAGCACTGTCCGGCGCGCTTCTTCCACGACAACGAGATCAAGATCCACTCGCGCTTCCACGGTATGAACCTGCCGTTCACGTGCCAGAAGTGTAGCTACACGGCCCGCCAGCATCCGCATCTGCTGGCTCACCTCAAGGTGCACTCGGACGAGTACAGGGAGCGCACGCGCTCGCTGCTAGTCATCTACACCAGCTCGCCCGACCACCCGCCGCGAGGCACCGCGCCCGCCGCGCCCGGCACCGCCGCCGCCCCCGCCGTCCCGGCGCCCGTCCCGTCGCCGCCGGACAAGCGACCGACGCCGTCGCCGTCGCCATCGCCGGCCGCGCGGCCGGTGCCGTCCGTCCCGCCCGCGCCCACCTCCAAGCCGGCCTGGAAGGTGAAGCGGTTCGCCTGCAGCAAGTGCCCGGCGCGCTTCGTCAAGGACGCCACGCTCAAGTACCACCTGTCGCTGCACGGCAGCGCCGGCCCGTTCCGCTGCGACAAGTGCAACTACGCCGTCAAGACGTACGGCAACCTGGTGCAGCACCTCAACCTGCACAGCGAGTCGGACGTGGCAGGTAGGTACCGCCCCGCGGGGTTCCATCCGGAGTAGATGGAGCCCGCCGTCCGGCGCTGGCGCGCGCTGTGGTCAACACCCTCCCTGTTAGCGTGTGGCCGGTCTGTCGGTGTGATTGTCTTCGATTTTTGAGGCGATTGGTGCTCCATTCAAAGCGGTTTTGCTTCATTCAAAGCGATTGGGCTCCATTCGAGGCGATTTGTGCTCCAACACTCGAACGTTGGTCGACGTGTCGCGTGCGACCGCATGTCATGATGCTGACGTCGAACGTCGAAGCCAGAGCCGCTGCATATCGTGGCGAAGCTTGCGTTGCCATGGCGATTGTCGTGGCATTGACGGCTGACCGCGTTTGGGCCGTTTCCAGGCAACGGCAGCAGTCACCGATCCTCGCCGGAGGCAGACCTGGCGCGACTGCGCGCGCCGGCTGCCGATGACTTCCCCATGTCGGGCGTTGACCTGCTGAAGCGCAAGCTGGACTTCGAGAAGGAGCACATGGGCGCGCTGAACGAGAGCAACATGCCGTCGCGCAAGGTGATGCGCTTCGCGCCGCCCAGCATGGACCCGTCGAGCCCTTACTACGCCGAGCGCGCCGGCAACCCGGACTTTGCGTACCCGACAGTGCTGGATCGCTACGGTCGCGAGCGCGAGAAGCGGTACAAGTGCCGCCGCTGCCCGTCCGCCTTCGAGAAGCGCGAGCAGTACGTCAAGCACACCAGCCTGCACAGCGTGCAGAACAAGTACACGTGCACCATCTGCGACTACTCGGTCAAGTACTACCCCAACTTCTGCAACCACATGAAGCGGCACGGCATCCGGCCGCCGCCGGCCGAGGAGGCGGCCAGCGCGCTCGTGTCGGGGCTGGAGTCGGGCTCGGTGTCGCCGAGCGGTGCGGCCGGCGGCGGGGGCGACTCGCCGCGGGCGGCCGGCGCCGGCCGCGCCGTCTACACCGGCCCGCCCGAGCTCACCACCGTCGAGAAGCAGCAGCTGGTGCTGCAGCGCGTTCGGGAGGAGCAGGACGCGCTGAAAGGTGGGCAGATGGCGCACAGCCGGTCCGGTCCGGTCCGGTCCGGTCCGGTCCAGTCCAGTCCAGTCCAGTCCAGTCCAGTCCACCGGGCGGGACGTGACACAGCGGATGGAGCGTTCGTGGCATCGTCAAACGGCAGGTTAAGAAGCCGTCTAGCGTGGTGGATATGAGCGTTCGGCTTGTTTCTGGTCATTCTTACCGTTTGTTGCTCGTACAACACACTTTTCAAACCTAGTACACTCATGACAATGTATTGCACTTAGCAGTCATGTCATTGTCATAAGTCGACGCAAGAACGACGGTGTGTCTTTCCGAACAGCTCGCAGTGTCGGGTGGGGTAGGAACCGTACTGGGTGGCGTGCGGTGTGACATGTCCGCCTTTTTGTTGGAAGTGGGGCCAAACCGCTGCTTCATTCATCCCTCGCCTGCCCGCTCACGAGCTGTTGACATGTCTCACCGCTCACCAGCTGTTGCCATGTCTCCCCGCAGAAGATTCTGAGCCGCCCCGTAGGGTACACTGGTGCGAGCTGTGCCCCTACGCCAACATCCGAAGGGACACCACCGAGAACCACCGGTGGCGCCACCAGTTCTACGGCAGCCGCGGAGGCTTTAGTTGCAAGTACTGCGACTACGCGGCGCACCAGTCGCACTTGCTGCGCGAGCACCACAAGATCCACTTCAGGCCGTGCAAGTACATCAGGGTCGACTCATTCACGGAACTTGTCAAGCTGGAGGTCTTCATGAAGGAGGTCAGCGTGGAGGATGACAAGGTGAGCAAAAGGGACGTTTCTCACAGTAATACTACTGGCTTTTCAAATGTCATGGTGCGTACACCTTGGCTGCAGTAGCTGGAAAAGTGTCAGCCTTCCAACACTGCGATGTGAATGTTGTTATGAGACACCACCGGGTCATATTCATCGAGCCGAAAGACCATGCCAGCACACCAAAGCGTCGTAAATAGTCAGCACAGGCGCAGGAACGCCTCAGATAGGCTAGGTGGCCAAACCAATTCTAGAGTAGATTCTGTTTATGCATCGCCTTGTAGTTGATAGTACTCTCAGAAAGTGCGGATTTCGTAACGCGTGTAGGCGTCCGTTCTTCGCCTGTGATCATCAGCTAGTCGTGATTAATTCTTTGTCAAGTCCTTCATGGGCTCATGCGTCAGGAGGATATGTCAGTTATTAGCCGTGCACGTTCCCAGTACTGTTATTCGATCCGTCTATGCCGGGTGACACGACGCTCGGTCCTCAGGAGGCCCTGGAGGAGACGTTCGAGGACGTGGACGTCTCCACGCACGACGTGCTGTTTACCGCGTGCGACTGGGACGAGGACGAGGAGCGCGACGAGCCGGCCGGCGCCGAGCCGCCCGTGCTCGTCAACGTCAAGACGGGCGAGTTCGTCAGCGACCGGCGCGACGGCGAGGCGGCGGCCAGCGACGCCGAAGACGTCGAGGCCGAGCTGGCGGGCGGCGCGAGAGGCGAGGGTGCCGAGCCGGGCGCCGAGGCGGCGGGCGGCGGTGGAGGCGGGGGCGGGGAGACGGAGATCGAGCAACACACAAACGCGGAGAAGCACCGCGATCCCGTGGTGAAAGCCGAGGACGAGGACAACGCTGGCGAACGCGCTGGCGAGGAAGACGCCTTCGGCGCCGACCGTGAAGATTCGCTGGATGGTGGAGGTGAAGCCCCGACGCTGCCGGTGAAGGCGGAGGACGACGAGGGGGAGCGGCACGGAGAAGAGCCGGACGAGGAGATGGCAGAGGAGGACGAGGAGATTGCGGCCGAGGACGAGGAGATGCCAGAGGACGAGGACGAGGACGCGGCCGGGGCGGACTAGCGGCGGGAGGGCGGCGCACCGCCGCCGCCTGCCGCCCCGGTCACGCCCCCAGCGCCTGGTCCCGGCAGAAGCCGACGCCCACGGTCCGCCTCCAGGCTCGGCCTCAGCTGCCGCAGCTGCTCCTGCTGACACGCCCGCCAAAACCCGGCGACGGAGTGACGGACGCGGCTAAACCGGCGCGTAGCTCGTGCCCTGCTGAGCTAAGTAGAGCTACGGGAGGCCTGTGAGAACTCCAGGACAGCCTGGATTAATGCAGGAAGTCTGGGTGCAAAACGTGGCGCACATGCCTGTTGTGCGCGTCGTAAAGTGCCACTGGCGACGGCCTTGCCGCTGACCAGACACTTAATGCGGTGGTTAACGGGGGGGGGGGGGGGGGGGGAGGATTCGGCAATCGCTGGCGTGTGATATGCGTTTGTTATTTCGCGATGTGTGGACCATGGACTGTCCTGTTCGTGGTTTGAATCCCCCATGGCATGTGGAGAGCGCGCAGCCCACCACGGGATGGTCCCATCAAGGACAAGTATGTTAAGGCACTGACACTTTCCGGCCACGAGCTCGGCTGATGCGGCAGTGACTGTGATACGCGCCCGACCGTCAAGTGTTGGGGTCACTGACTGACCCGCGTCGTCAGTGTTCGCGTACTGCTCCGACCAATGGTGGGTGAAGTTATCCAGTCTTATTTCTACATTCAAGACCAAAGAAGCGTGTTTCTTGCAGGGAGCTGGTTTCTTTCCGTGCCTCACGTTGGCGTTCGTTGGTGAGCGTCTGGCGTTTGAGGCCAATTTGTGGTTTGTTTGTGCAAAATATACGCCATCCCGTTCATGACGCACGCCCGTCAGTCGGTGAATTGGTCACTGACGTCATTGAATCAGTCAATGACGTCAGTGAGTCAGGGGCGGCGCGGTTCATGCCATCGCGTACTACGCCCTCCGTTATGCCGAGGAGTCTGTCCCGCAACGAGTGACTTGTGGTCAAGGGAAATCCTACAGCTCCTGCCGTTGATTCGACATTTGCATTTCGCGGTGAGGACGCCGTCACGCTGGGGCGCGCTCGACGCCAACGTCAAACACGCGGACCGACGCGGCTGCCCGCGGCCCGGCAGGCACCAGGCCACTCGGAGGCCGCCTTCAAATCGGCCGGCCCAATAAACCAGCTTGGGGAAGTCCGTGCGGCCGTCTCGTGCAACCAACGCAGTCCGTCTCTTCGCAGGATTCGACGAGGCCTCTGTCTACGATTCGGCGAGGCCCGTATCTCAAGCAGGCGTTCGCACCCAGGGCGCTGTCCTCCACCGATCAGTTTCTACCGGACCATAGTGCGGTCGTGCACCACGGGGACCCACAGACCTGAAGCCGCGCGACTCGCGCAACGACGGAGCCATGTTTGGCCACTCCGGCTTACTGATAAGGCCTCCCGCGTCGCCCATGACCAGCTGCTTGTTTAGCGCAGGAGACCACGGCTAACCGCAAGTGTTGACTAACGGCAGCCTTGCGTCACCATCGCCGTGAGGGGGAGGCCATCCGTCCGCCCAGACGGTGATGCTCGACGCGGCCCGCGAGGGCGGCTGCGGAGGCCCCCCCCCCCGCCCCGCAGAGGTCAGGGGCCGTGGTCACGTCACGGCTATTTGCGGACCAGGCTAAAGTGACGCCGGCTGTGGTCGGCGATGACGCTCACAACCTCCACGTCACGCGGCGAAGTACGGCTGATTTATTGTATAGAAGTGCCTCTCCGTGGGGCCAGACAAGCTCACGCAGACAGACATACGCACCAAACGAAACGACCACTCATTAGATAACGTGACAACCGAGCCCTACACAGCGCCGCGGTAGTTGCCGGATCTAAAAGCCACCGCCTCGTAGCTCGTTCCCGAGCATCCCACGGCAGGCAGAGCAGAAGAGCTATGTGCAGAACACGAGCACGATCATAAACAACAATCATAACCTGGAGACTCTCGAATAGCACAAATCCAACTTTGCACAATTTGCGTTACTTCACGATACTTACAACCTGAATTTCCACATATGTTCGACGGGGCTGTCCCCCTCGCCCACTGCCAACACGTTTCCTTAGGCGATCGTCCAGTGGTGGGCGGCAGAGCCACCCGACCCGCAGATCGTCGGCTCCCGCACCGTCCGGCGCCGCAGAGCCCCCCCCCATCGAACGCACGTGGTCGGCCCACGATTTCACACACACACACACACACACGCACAGTCACCCGGGTGCAGTTCCCGACCCACAAGTCACTCACTACAGCAGTCGCACCGCGCGGGGCGCCGTGCGGCAGCCCGGGTTCACGGATGACGGCCCTGAGTCAGCCCGCTACCCGACCCCGTCTCGCTCCCCTGCGCACAGCCGCCGCCGGGGCACCGGGCCCGCTCGAGACAGGTGCTACGGAGTCGTCGCTCCCCTCGCACGACCTCAGTTCGTTGGGGCCGCCGGATGCCGGCCGGCGCCACATCACACCGGCGCCGCTCTTCAGCGGGGTCCGACGACACCAGAGCACGACTTCTCCCGGGGCCGAGACAGGCCTCAACCTTGTGGGATTGGGTCCCAGCAAATTTGAATCCCGCTTCACTGCGGTAATGGTGACGACGGACCGTTCTATATTTGCCGGGCCTCGGCGACACCGGACCACGCATCCCTCGGGGCTCGGTGTCACCGAACCACACGTCCCTCGGGCCTCGGTGTCACCGCGCCACATGTCTCTCAGGCTTCGGTGACACCGGACCACACGTCCCTCGGGCCTCGGTGACACCGGACCACACACCTCTCAGGCCTCGATGACACAAGACCACACGTCCCTTCGGGTCTCGGTGACACCGGACCATGCATCTCTCGGCGACACCGGACCGCACGTTTCTCGGCGACAGCAGAGCACACATCCCTCGGGCCTCGGTGACGCCAGACCGCACGGCTCTCAGGCCTCAGTGACACCGGACCACACGCCTCTCGGTGACACCAGACCACGTCCCTCGGGCCTCGGTGACACCAGACCACAGGACCCTCGGGCCTCGGCGACACCGGGCCACATAGCAGCGGGACTTCGCCGCCACCGGCCCCGCGCCGCCCACGACACCGGACGGCGCACCGCCGCGCGCGCGGATTCATTCGCCTCTTGCGGCGCCGGACTCGGGCGCGCCGCTCTCCGAGCCTCCGCCGGCCGGGACGCTGACAGGCACCCGTCGCGGCGGCGGCGGGGCCCGCCGCGCCACCGTCTCGGCGGCGCGGCGTCGACGCATTACGATCTAGCGCGGTGCGTGCGTTATTGGTGGGCGCACTGCACGCCCGGGCCGCCGTGCTCCTCCTCGTCCTCGTCGTACGCCTCGGCGCGGCCCGACCTGCCGGTGGGGAAGGCGAGTGTGAGCGGCGGGCGGCGACGCTGGCCCGTCAGTCTCACTTGAGCAGTTTGAGTATGCTGTGATACATTGCCGAACAACGCTTAGAACATGAAGAACGACTGCACGCAGTTGCTACGGACCGTCCGTTATCGACACGTTTCAAACACACGCTGGCGAAACAATTCACCGTCACCTGGCCGGCGATGAATCAAGTGGGAACATCTGCCGGGTTTTGTCGAGCTTCGCAACCTGACTGTGGAGTTACCTTGACATGCGACAACACCGTGCACAACGTTTGAGGGCAAGCCAATGTCCAACGCCACGTCGGGACTCTCGAGATTTCCGTCGACCGGCACACAGGGCCAAAATGTGCGCGTTCGCCGGTGTTGGAATACAAGCCTATCTCGAGTGTTGCGACGGCACTCATAGCATTCTGGGCGATTCGAAGTCGATGGCACACGAATGGCAAGCTGACGCTGCCAGCGCTGCCCAGACATCAGCGGTACGCCAGTGTTGACCGCGGCGGTAGCCAGTGACAGCAGCCAGACAGCCAGTCAGCGTATGCGCGCGCATGCCAAACCACCGCACAGCCGTTTCACTGTTATGATATTAACGGTTTAGTTTCGCAAGCGATAGTTATGACAGACCGAGGAATTAGACGCTAATACGCCTAGCTATGCAAGACGAAATTGCTTTGAAGACGAATTACGCGTTATCCAAACGTTTTGAATGTGACGGGCATGACCACCTCCTCACCAAAAGCGAAGCTTTTGGCCATCTCGCCCACACCGCCGGTTTGTCCCCGGTGTCCCCCGGGACAGACCGGCACCAGTGGTGGGGACTCCAGGGACTCCAGTGGAATGCCCCACATTCGGACAGCGGCCGTACCAGACGGGAGGGGGAGGGGGAGGGGGCACACGTCCGGCGGTGACGCACGGTGCCAGGATTCCCCACTTCCGACCGGCGGACACCCCAAGCCGGCGGGCGCGCGCCGCCGCGACGTCCGGCCGGACAGATAGCGAGCTATGCTTGAGGCACCGACGGCTGGAACACGCGGTACTCCTACCGCATGTCCTGAGGTCTCCCACACCCCACCCGGAACAAAATCACCCCCTCCCCCTCAAAGCAGCATGGCACCGCCATCCAGGCTCCTCCACTCATCTACCGCCTGATAATTGGTATGTCTAAACAATCCGCTCATTCCACAGACCAACCACAAAAACTACTCGTCAAGCACGTGACAGCGATGATGGTGATGCGGCTGAAAGGGTGCATCAAATGTGCGACCACACGAAGCCCAGAGGCAGTGCCTTATTTCCCCCCTAAAAAAACAAATTCAGAGCCTCATTGGTCCCATCCAATCACGCAGAGCAACGTACATAGTAATGCGGCTGATAAACTGCGCATCTGTGACATGCGACTGCCGCTAAGTGCCGGCTCACTGCACATGTCGTCATTCAGCAGACGTTTTCATGCGAAAGCGGGCGGTGTACCAGCAGTCCCCGCAGCGAAGTTGCTGGCGGACGGCACGCGACCGGACAGCCACGACGGCCAGAGCCAATCCTCTTCACAAGAGGGCAATACGTCACCAACACGTCCCAGCAACAACCCGCGTGAGGGATATGACGCGGCCCGAGCCGCGGCCACGGCACGCGCCGGACGCCACACCGGCCAAGCGCGCGCGAGCCCGCACCTGCCGCACAATCACACCGCAGCGCCACCCACGCCGGCGGCGTCCGGCGGCCGGCCCTCACCGTGACTGCGTGCTGGGATCGAAGTCCTCCAGGTGCACGTCCTCCACGTGCTCGCCGGGCGGCCGCTGGTAGGCGCGCCGCGGCGGCAGCAGGCCCTCCAGCTGCGGGTACACCGGCTCCGGCGCCCAGTGGTTGGCCGGGAAGTCCACCTCGAAGCGCAAGTACAGGTTGCCCTTCTCGAACGGCATCCGGTGGATGGGGAAGCCCTCACCGCGGACGCCCTTGCGCGCGCCTGCAAACGGGGGGAGGGGAGGGGGGCGGCCGTCAGGGGGCGGGCGGGGTCGACCGGTGGCCGCCGCTCGGCACACGTGGAGACACCGTACGAACTCGCCAACTGCAGAAGTCCCGAGCCAGGGACAGGCCGGCAGACGGAGCTGTGAAGAAGAAAGCGAGGAGGGAAGGGGAGAGAGCGCGTCGTGGGAGTGCGCGGCGGGGAGTGTCACACTCCGGCTGCGGCATCGCTGAGCACCAGCGTCAGCGCCGACGGTGCTGGCGGCGGGGGCGGCGGGGCGGCCGTGCGGACGGAGCGGCGAGCCCACACGTCGGTCGCGGGACAGGGGCACCCAGAACCGGCATGCAATCCCACCGCAGCGGGCACTGCGGCGGCGGCGGCGACCTCGGCCGGCGGCGGACGCGCGGTCAGCAGGGCTCGGTGCCGAGCGGGCAGAGGCCGTCGCCTGGGACGGGCCGGGCCGGGCCGGCTCCCCGCCCACCAGCCGATAGTGGCCGACCACCCGTCCAGACCGGAAGCCCCGGCGCCGGCCGGCCGGCCCGGACAACACCACCATCTCCACAAAGTATCGCGGTTCGCCTGGCCCGCTTGCGTACAGCTTTGAGCAGTGACATTGACTGCTATCCCGAGGGAGACGGGCTGCGGCTGCGGTACTTCATGAGCACACTGGTGATATAGACAAAGGTTGGGAGTTCTCCCTTCCCTTCTATTCTCTATTCATCCTTTTTCTTTTCCACATCTCTTCTCTGCCCTGCTGTGCTGTGCTGTGCTGTGCTGTGCTGCGCTATTCACGCGGTTGTCGCTCTAATAATCCCAAGTACGACTCCATACATGGCAGCCTTTTCGCTGATGATAATGATACTCGCAACCAAAAGTAAATTACCGTGATTCGTTCCGTTTCCATGTCACAAATTATCGATTAGCCAGGCACTTCAGTCACGTTCCGTTCCTGGCATCAAATGAACGGGATCCGCTCAGCAAAGTAAAAATTTTACGTTTCGAGATGAAGAGTAGAATAAAATCCGGCAGAATTATTTTGCAGGACCTCACTCTGGTTGGCCTAATTTCATGAAGTTCTGCAGTCACAAACGAGGTAGAACATAGCCCGGCAAGTGAGCCAACATAAAAAGACGGTACTGAAATAACGCCTCGCTTAAGGGAGAATGCAACAACAACACTTTACAACAGAGCTCGACTGAAGAGAGCCCGACCGGCTGGCCCGTTCCCTCACCTGGCTGGAGGACGGTGCCCGGCTCAGACATGATCACCACTGTCCGGTCGTCCAGGTGCTTGATCGGGATCCGGAAGCCACACAGCGACTCGGTCAGCGAAATTTTCTTCGTCATGTGCAGGTCCTGAGGCAGAGAGACACCAACTCGTATGGAAATGGACTCCGGCACAGCTCCCGGCACGCGGCGTACGCGGCAGGCATCACCACTACATCAGTCCTGCGGCGCGACTGCGCAACACCCGCGAACAGCGCGGTCTCGCCAGACAGGCATCACTACTACATCAGTACTGCGGCGCGACTGCGCAACACCCGCGAACAGCGCGGTCTCGCCAGACAGGCATCACCACTACATCAGTCCTGCGGCGCGACTGCGCAACACCCGCGAACAGCGCGGTCTCGCCAGGCGGACATCACCACTACATCAGTCCTGCGGTGCGACTGAGTAACATCCGCGAACAGCGCGGTCAACACCCGCGAACCAGACAGACCACGCGCCTTCGACTCACAAGCAGAAGGCCGCTTAAGCTCTGCGCTTTCCTAAATTTGGTCACTGCCGACCGTGCTGGGACCGAGGCCTCCGCCGTAAGTGCTGCGCCGCGTTCAACTTCTTCGTGTTTACCCTAGCCTGCTCTGGCAGGCCCCCGCCCTGCCGAACCGCTAAACAAGTCACCTGTTTCGATTTCACGCCCAACCGTCTCGGAAGACCATGCCAAGAACGCTACACCACCCTGTCCAGATGAAACATGACTGGATTCGTCAGCACGTGCAAATGGGTGCCCGTTAACCTACGCGGAAATCACTCTGCCTGCCGTATTTTTACATATGCAATGGAAGTATACCGATCTGGCCAGCTTCTTCGCCGACGCTCCCTAATCTTTCGGTGGCATGCACCACAGAATGTCACGCCACTTGACGCGAATACGTCAGTGAAATGTCCCAGTGCTTTGGACGCGCACACGGGCGCTTCGAATACCACTGCCTGTGTACTTGATACCAGAGACTTTCACAGCGAGACGGAGCTAGGCCCACGGCCAGGCCTCCCCGGCATGATTGCTGGGGCCACGGCCAGGCCTCCCCGGCACGATTGCTAGGCCCACGGCCAGGCCTCCCCGGCACGATTGCTAGGCCCATGGCCAGGCCTCCCCGGCACGATTGCTAGGCCCACAGCCAGGCCTCCCCGGCACGATTGCTAGGCCCGCGGCCAGGCCTGCCCGGCGCGATTGCTAGGCCTTCGGCCAGGCCTCCCCGGCATGATTGCTAGGCCCACGGCCAGGCCTCCCCGGCATGACTGTCAGCACTGAAGAAGGTTTATGGCCGGAAGGGCAGTTCATCTCCTGCTCTTATTACAGTCAGCTAGCACAGATGCGTAGCACAGGCGAAGAATTATTGGGACATTCAAAAATATCGTGCATCATCATCCACCACGCTCTACGAGAGCTGAAGCATGGCAAACATCCTACCTTACTAATAAATGAAAGACTCTGCCATTTGGCCCTTCAGAACTCGAGAACCGTCGATAGCAGACAGCAGATACCCAAACATGTAAATGTTCGGCGTCAGCGCGCCGAGAGGAAGGTTTGTGTAACACTTTGATCGAGATCTGCGCCACTGCACAAGTAACCCTGCCCCCCCCCCCCCGCCCCCCCCCCCCCCGGGGAGACCGCCGGCCGTATACGGTTAGGAGCAGCGACGGTGGGTTGCGCGCCATTTGAGACCTAGCAGAGCGGCTAAGAATACCAGCTACCGCGAGCTAATCGACTGCATATCCGCCAGCTGCGAAAGCGTGGGCAGAGCGAAAACCACAATACAACGACCAGTAAAATGATGATGATTTGTGGTTTTAGGGCGCATCGACTGCTGTAGATCATGCAGCGCCCACCGACCAGTAAAGGCCACAAACACAAACTGAGTAATGGCTACAAAAAGAATTTCCCACACGACGGTTAATCCGCGACATTACACAAATTACAGCGTGACGAGTAATAACTGATAGCCGGAGTATCAGAAGACATCTCAGCACCGTGTGCGCACTTAAATGGCGACAATAATGCCGAACAGTTTGCCTACAACTTGGCAATTATCAAGTCCACAGCCAAGACAAATCAGCGTTCACGTGTCGAAAACGTATAATTTGCCGACAGCCTCCTGGCCAAGGTCTGCCCGGCCTGGAAGCGCGCTACCAAGACCCCACCTGGCTCAGGGAGCGGGCCATCCTGATACCGTAAACTTCTCTCCTGGTGATAACAACTTCTAGCTTCAGGAGAAGCCACGTGGGGAGACAAGGGCCAGCAAGTCAGTGGACGGCGATACAGACCCAGAGGAGGCTGTGGGCGCTCGCTGTAAGCAACGTCCCGCTGCGACGGTGCGAAGCAACGTCAAAAACTTAATACTTGTCACCATTTTTTAATTCTCGTAATGCTATAAAACACAAACAAATTTCTGCTTGTCCTGTTTTACAGCCTGCAAACGTCACCGAATAGGTATCTATACCGCCGGTGCAAAGTATGTGGGTAGTTCACATCCCCTAATAGGAATATATGCTGCCGGTGCAAAGTATATGACTAGTTCACGCTTAGAAGGTCATTACCAACATCCCAAAAATGGCTGGTCGATGATGTATTTCAGACTGAATAACATACGTATGACACTATTTTACTCATCCGCACATCCGCATCTCAAGCTTATTTGCCAAAAGCAGCCTTTGGGTGGGGAAAACATGGAAAAACGTGTTTGAGTGGGTATTTTCGGCACCCTTTCCCGCCAAAATCCCGGAGATTCCACCCGTCTAGTATCAATATGAATGCAGTCTACTTTGCTTCCAGCGCAACGTACCGAATGCATTGTCAATCCGAACTGTATCAAGGGGGCTAAAACGGGAACCTTGCCACTCATTTTCAGGCGACAACGGTCGCATGCCATGAAAAGTTACAGATCGCATAAGCGGCTTTGATTTACTTCTCACATGTACAATCGCTCCCTTGAAGGTCAACCAGGGTCATTCTCAGATCTCATTAGCACAACACACTTTGAGGCGCAGAGGTCTTTTACCGGCCAACAACGGAACGTCTTAGTAATAGCGGGGAGCGGTCCCGGGCCCGGCTCGCGCATTCAATCTCTCAAGGACACTTAATCTACATGTCGTTGTCCTTTTTATATCAGTTTTGTTCTCAGTTCTTTTTGTGTGCTGTACTTATCAGGGCTGCTTCTCCATGCATGCGTGTACATTCTAGGCCAGCAGCGTCGTCGTCATTTGGGTAGGTTTTGCACTGGCGTTGTTGAGTCGGTTCATGGAAACGTTAGCCATCAACGTACGTACACTTGCACAAACGCGAGGAAAACCTGCATCTAAGATGGACTGATTCACGACCGAGACACGATCGCAATCGAATTGTCAAGTAGTGTATTTCTCCGGGTCACAAGCCTACAACTGGCTCGCATTCCATTCATAACACAACAAACTAGCAATACACTAACCGCTTCTGTACGACAGCGTACAACGAATGTCGGAAAACCGCTCCCATGTACGATGTCCAACATCCGTCCAGCGCGGTGCGCCATACCCACGGTGTACCACACTCGAGCCAACCTGAGCGGCCGAGCCGACATTGCGTCCCCCCCCCCCTCCGGGCTCCCTAGTCGGGGCTCCAGGTCAGCCGCGTGGCACCAATGTCACGCACAACCACTGGTTCGCGCCGGTGAAACCTGACCAGCTCGGCTGCCGAGCCAAAGTGGCGCTCGCTCCACTTCTGGAAGCCGAGCGCCAGGCGGCCGTCGTCGCGCGTCCGCACGGGCAGGTGGTAGCAGCAGCCGTCCAGCGAGAGCGAGAGCGCCATGTGCGCGCCGGCCGCGCGGCTCGACGGCCGCAGCAGGAAGGCGCCGTTCGGCCGGCCGCTCAGCACAAGCTCGGCCATGTCGCGCGAGACCTCGCGGTACCAGCGCCCGCCGGTCGGCGCCGGCCACGCCGCCCACTCGCCCGGGTCCGAGCCGACGCTGGCCACGTCGTCCTCCATCGAGCCCGCGCAGCCGGTCGTAGGCAGGGAGGACGTCGAGCCCAGCAGGCCGCTGGCCAGCGGCGGGCGCCGCGCTGCGTCGGAGCGCGAGCGCAGCCGCGACTCGTTCCGCACGGCCAGCCGCTCGTAGCCCGAGTCGGAGTCCGACGAGTGGGCGGCGGCCGGGGCGGGCCAAGCCGGAGGAGCGACCGGAGAGGAGGGAGCGACCGGAGCGGAGGGAGCGACCGGAGCGACCGGAGCGACCGGAGCGACCGGAGCGGACGGAGCGACCGGAGCGACCGGAGCGGATGGAGCGACCGGAGCGAGCGGAGCGGACGGAGCGGGCAGAGGGCGCGCATGCCGTTGGTCGTGCGCCGCCATATCCCGGATCTCACAATACTCTTCGTCGCCGCCGCCTGAGGCCGGCGGGTGGCCGGCCGCCGGGCCGCGTGGGCCGGCGTTCATCTCCAGGTACTCCACCGTACACGCGGCACCTAGACGCGCCAAGTCCGAGTTGGTGTAGCGCTCCTCGTCGGTGGCCGCTGGCGGCGCCGGCCGTGGCGGCAGCGGCGGCTTCGGGCGGTCCAGGTGTGGCCGTCTGTCGCTGTCGTCCGAGTGGCATGATCGCAGTGTTTGCAGTCGGTCGCAGTGTCCGCCGCCGGCTTCCGCCAGGCCTGGCGCGCCGGAGCGCGCCGACCAGTCGCCGCGCGCTCTGTCGCAGCCGTCGCCGCGCGCTCTGTCGCAGCCCTTGCCGCGCTCTGCATGGCCGTTATCGCCGCGCCCCTGCCACGCTGCGCGGCCGCGCTTCTCAGCGCCGGAGCGGGCGCGCACCCGCTGTCCGGTCCAGGCGTCCGCTGGCGGCCGCATCGGCGGCTGCGGCAGTCGCGCCGCCGACCGATCGGCGTGCGGCGGCGGCGGCGGCTGGCGCCTCCTGGGCGCGTCACTGCGCTCGGTGCCTGCCATCGGAGCGAAGGTCCGCGCCGGCAGCCGGCAGCGGAGGAGCACAGAGTGGCGCCTACGGTGCAGGCGCGGGCCAGACAACGGACTGACGGCTGCCGCCGGCGGGCGAGGCCAGGCCTGGCCCGGCCCGTATCGGCGCCGGCGTCCGGCCCGCGCCTCTGACGTCACGGCTCTGCCGGCCGCCACCGCCGGATGGGCGCAGCCGCTCGAGGCCCCTCTTGGCCACCACGCTTCCGGAGAGCACGGCCCAGAAAGAAGACGACTCGCCACATTCCCGCCGTGACAAATTGTGACAGCATCCGGCGGGATGACCGCAAATGATGCTCTAACCGCCAACAATAGACGCGGAAAGGCATCCCACTTCCGTGACAGCTTTGCCATCCACCGCCCGCCCAAAACCCTCGACAGCATGCTCCGGAGCAAAGAAATTCGACAACGATGGCCGCGGAGGCAGTACGTCGGCACCAGAACGGCGATGGCGGACGTCAGCGAAGACTGGAGCTTCACCGGACTGGCCGCACAGTGCCAGCAGCAGCCAACCACACGAAAACTCAGGACGTGACGTTGTGTTTTAAATACGGCCTCGACCTCGCCCCCGGCCCCGGCTCCGGCATGGCCGGCACTGCCAAGACACCTACATAAGACACCTCCCTGGCACGGGACATGTGAGGCGAGCCCGACGTTAGACATAGCTATGGTTATTTCAGTGATGAAGGCGTGGGTATTGAGAGATGAATGCAACTGCTATCACAACTTGCTACGCAGCTTCACGATGTTAATTTTCAACACAGAATTCACGGTACTGCAAAGAACTTTGTGGAACAATGAGACGTGAACAATGAACAATGCGCTCGCCCTCCTACTAAAATGAGGAAGCTCCGCCACATCCGAGCACGTGTTGTTTCGCAACATAGTTCAGATGTGAAGGCTAGCACCACAAATTTCTTAACTATTCCCCCAAAACACAAAAACGGGCCTCTCCCCAAGCCTGACATATTTTGTTCTCAAAGTTGCGAAGGTTGGGGGTCCCTTGTACGCCAGCAAAGTCGGAGGGAAATACAGCCTACGACATTATATAATCTTTCCTGCCAAAACACTTAGGTAGCGATACAAACTTTGGCTGGCCTTTTTTACATTTTGTTAAACTTTTTACGTGCGAACGGGAGTGATGTGCCCCCAACTGACCTTGCCAGGTGGAGATAGCCGGCGTTTGATAGAGGCAGCCGGAGCTCGCAGCGACTCGTTCAGTCGCGGAGCCACGATTTTCCTCTAAAAACTTCGGATTCGGCTTTGGCTTTTCATTTTCTAAGGCTACGGCTTTCTAAGGCATTTTCTACGGCTCAATTCAGTTTCAGCATCGACTCCTCATTTTTATTTTTGTCAGCGAATATCACCAGCCTTGACTTCGCTCACGTGACGTCACTGTTCGGTGTGGCTACACGCGCCTGGCGCTTTCGGCACACCAGCCTTCTCCAAGAGCTATTGGCCATTCGGGTATCATTTGTTAAGTCCGCCGGTAGCCGTGGAGCGTTCTTTTGATGGCCGTTGTGCCCCAGTGTATAAAGTGTATGTGTGACTGTGCGATGCGTATGTGAGCGTGTGTAAGCGTGATTATGTTTTTAGTTTGTGTGTATCGTGCATCTGTTTTTGTTCAACTAGACTGCCTCCACAATTGGGCCTTTGTCTGTGGATTCCTTATGCTCTAAAAAAAAAACAACGAACAAATGCAAATAACTTATTTTTCATCAGGTGCTCGCAGCTGCGTGAAGCACCATAAACACCAACCATAGAAGGAGGGCAACGGCTCGGCCGGGGTATGAGAAGCTAAACTACACCGACCACTTGCGATCTCCGCCGACTTTTCTACAATTATGGCCCTTTCACACACGTTAACATCCATTGCTAACATCTCACGATTTGCTGGAACGCTTCTACCCATCTTGGTCAGTACCGGACTTAGTGATGTTTTCTTAGAAGATAAAACTAAGTGATGTTCTCCACGTGCTGACACGTGAAACATGGTGGTAAATATCAATTTACATTGTTGTAAATTGAGCAAATAGATCTTCGCCGTCTGTATTGCCTCCCTCAGGAAGGCCTTTTTCAAGTCAGGCTCTATAAAATACTGACTTTGATCTATAGTTTGATGACAACAAGGATGACAACATCGACCCACCACGCCGATTCGACCGGCGTCAAAGCAATTTTCTGGTTTGATGACTTCACCTTTCAACTCTGAATTGAACATATGGATTGTTGATTTGGCCCGGGTACGTAGTTTCATCCCACTGTCTTCGACATTGTCTGCTTAGGCTGAGTCCACCTGAACACGCCATGTCCGAGGTCAGGTATGGCGACACACCCGCAGTACACAAACCGTTCGTCGCAAATCAAACCAACCACGAGAGTTGTTCTCGGCTAGATCTCCCCCCCCCCCCCCCCCCCCACCCACCCCATCCACGTCAGCGCATGCAGCGGCGCTTAAGAGCCCCAGCTGCGATCGACGACGTGCGCCTGCGCACCCGCGGCCAGCTCAGGGGCTCCGCATCTGCCAGGCCCGAGGTCAAACCGAGCCGACCGGCGGCACCCCAGCGTGCGCCCACTCCGCTCTCGGCCAGGCCACGCACTGGGCACCCACCTAGGTGTACAATACTGCAATCTACATAGAGAGACCTGGAGCCAAACGTGTGCCTGCGCGCGCTGCCACTCCCAAACACGGGAGTCTAACTTGCCATCGAGCTTCCCGCGGACCGAGACGCCCGAGGCGGCGCTGTTTCGTGGGCCCATACAGTGATGACCGAGGCCTGATCCCGCTCTACCGAAACCCCAGCGCGCCGCTGTTCGCCGTGGCGCCGCGTCTGCCCAGTCCGTGGCCTGGCCGAGGGCGGAGTGGGTGCACGCTTGGGTGCGACCGGTCGACTCGGTTTGAGATCTTCTTCTAAGTTATTTCTATTTTAATAATCAGGACTCTTATCCCCCACATATTTATGTGAAAAGCATATATGATGCATTATATATATATATATATATATATATATATATATATATATATATATATATATATAAAGTGCATAGCACTAGAATCAATAACTTGTAGCGTAGTACCCACGTGAGAAACCTAACCAAGCTTAATTAACAAGCCTGTCATGCAAAGAGTTACATAACTAAGAGTAAAAAATGCGATGCCTGACATTCCGCAACAGTGCCCACCACACGACTCTTGCACATAGTCGTGCCAAACCCCTCAAAACAATTTCTGCCACCGATCCAGACCTGGAGCAGCCACCCGTCCCACACGCAGTTGGACGCCCTCCACCGGCCGTGCGCGGTCGGCGCCGGCGGCGCGGCGCGCGCCACTCACGTGTCCGTCGCGCTGGAAGACCTCGTGCGGCACCTGCTGCAGCACCACGATCACGTCGCCCGGCTCGATGCCCGGCTTCTGGTTCCCCTCGCCGCGGAACGTGATCTTCTGGCTGTCACGCATGCCCTTGTCCACGTGTACCTGCCGGGCGCACGGCGCGTGCCTCTCAGTGATCACGCGCTGGAGGACGGTGAGCGGGGCTCGGGGGCTGCTCCCGGCGGTGTTGGCAGCGTGTTGGGGGCTCAAGGGTGCCTCAAACATGCGGTCTTACACACACGGGCCATTGAAAGGTCCCCTAGAATAACTTTAAAATCGGCAATCAATGCGACACCAAATACTGGCCGGTGCTGTTTTTTTTTTATAGAACTACCATATAAAAAGCCTAGCAGTTATCAGCGGTGCGATAGCCGACGCCGAGAAAATCGGAGAGGATGAGCGACAATGCGGTTAACCCGAGGGATCGCACGTGTAGACAGTAACACGGGACACCAGGCCACCACACAACGCGCAATACACGTGCGTTACAGTGGCTGTGCCGTGCCATTTCAACATGACCGAAAAGGTGCTGACGGGTGTTGACGGCACGTCCGACGATGTGCATCCCAAGAGCACCATTTCGAACAGGCCCACTGCACGTGCGTGCAACCCATCTCCAACACGGCCAGACGGCGCGGGTGGATCCGTCCGCACCGCCGGCGCGGCCCGGCGCCCTCACCTCCAGTATCTTGACCTCGCTGGTGGTCTTCTGGCCGGCGCAGGTGCGGCAGCGGTCGCGCTCACTCATCAGCTCGCCCTCGCCGTGACAGTCGGGACACATGGTCTGCTTCTGCTGCACCATGCCCGGTCCGATCTGGCGGATGTGGATCTTGATGCCGCGCCCCTGGCAGCCGCGGCAGGGCGCCGGAGCCGTGCCCATGCGGCCGCCGGTGCCGCCGCAGCTGGCACACACCACGCTCTTGCTCAGCTGCAGCTTCGACGTCTTACCGTTGTAGAGGTCCTCCAACGTCACCCTGCGGCGGACGGAGCGGCGCGTCAGCGGCGCGGCGACACGCTGAGCTTCGACTCGCCCGGCCCCGACGCCAAACACGCGGCATGTGCGGCGAATCGCTGGCCGCATGGCGACACTACGACCGAGGGACGGCATCGCCAGAGCTCGGCCGCTGCACGCATACAGCAAGACGACGACCTTTACCTAGAACGGACTCTGTTGTGGGCACATAGAACCGCAGGCTGCCTCACACTGCCGCCGATCTTATAGAAAGCCCACCACTTATCATGAACCTGCCACTTTCCCTGGGTTTTATGGTCACCAATCCTGCCGGTTTCTGAGCTGGCAAGGGACTAAATACATCACCGCTACAAGACACGAGGTCCATCGACGACACCACGATACGCATAGCGCTAGCGCGACACGCGATCCGCCAGCAGGGCTCCCTCCCGACCGCACCACCCACCATACAAATGTCGCCGTCCCCCCCCCCCCCCCTAACGCCGCCGGATCAACCCCCGCCGCCGCCGCCGCCGCCGGCCGCGCCACACTCACTTGAGGGGGTAAACAGTGTCCTCGCCGCGGCGTGGGCCGCGCTGCCGGCCACCGCCCATGCCGAACATGCCGCCCAGCCCGCCGCCGAAGAAGTGGGAGAAGATGTCCTCGCCGAAGCCGGCCATGTCGGCGCCGCCGCCGCCGCCCTCCTGCAGGCCACGGATGCCCTGCGCATCGTAGATGCGCCGCTTCTGCGGGTCGGTCAGCACCTCGTACGCGAACGAGATCTCCTTGAACTTGTCGCCGGCCTCAGGGTTCTTGTCCGGGTGGAACTCCTTGGCCAGCCGCCGATACGCCTGCGGCGCCAGCTAGTGTCAGCGGACGCGCGCATAACACAGGCCGCACTACAGGGGTCGCCGCGCCATCCGGGGCGGCGCTCGTGCAGGCACAACCAGGCAAGTGGGTTCAATGCGGCAAGAGCGCTTATTGCGCGGGGCACCAGCCAGTTAGCAAAAAAAAAAAAAAAAAAAACGAAAAAAACGACTAGAATAACCACAGAAGACCAAAATGTCCGTAGGAAAGAACTGCCACTCAGGACAATGGTGTGGCCAATATTAAGACTAACGAGGAGTGCTTTCGGTCAAGGGGCCCATTTCGCCGCTATAGGGGCCCTCTCTTATATGTGTAAAGTCGTGTAAGTAAAGTATGTGTAAGTAAGGACTCGACATATGTCGAGTCTTTTGCGGACTCCCATTCAAAGACCCGTGGACCCGTTTTTTTTTTTTAGATAAAAATAATGTGCAAGCCCTACAGTCGCCTACAACTGACAAAGAGGGGGCCCGACACCTGCAGGGCTGGAGGTGGGGATGGGCAGGGGAGGGCACGACTCTCCCCCCCCCCCTTCAAGCCCCGCTGGATACGCCACTGCCTCACTGTTTTAAGGCCATCCAACGCACCCTGTCACGCCCCGTGACTGCATCGGCTATAATAGTGCTCAGGGGTCATGGTGCAACTGGGATTCAAACCCGGACTTTCCAGGTGGCAGTCTGAGGCGCTAACCACTCGGCCATTACACTGAATCATGCCCAGCCATTACACAGGGTAGAGCGCTACACCACTGCACGCATCCCACCAAAGGACTCATATTCGAGAGCAGCTTGGGAAAAGGTAACATTTGCAGCTTGCTGGTTGATTCCTGGCACACTTATGGGTCAGAGTTCTATTTTGGTTGGTGATATGCAGCAGGCTGGTATGTTTGCCTTCATTGTGCAGCTGATTCCATGTTGTCTGCACTGTGGATGATGATATATGACCTCAGGTCTACCAACAACACCCCACAAATGGGCAGATCCACCAATTGCACATGAGAGCAAATAAGCAACCCACAGTGACACATGCTTTTGTCAACATTGTTGTTATTTCAACTTTCAACACCATGTTGCCAATACAACTGCATGCTGTCTTGTGCCACTGCATCCCTGGATTGCCATCTGGACCTGGTTTCAAGCTGTGTTCTCCATCTTTTTACATGTTGAAAATTGTGTGTTTTCCATGATCATTGGGTAAGGAATGTCACATTGCAATGGTCTTGCAAAAGTGGTGGCACCAAGACTTCCCCAAGTATCCTGCCAACACTCCACCCTGTTTGTTATCTATGATGATGATGATGATGACTATTAAGGTCCACAGAATGCCCCCAATAGACAGGAGATAACAGGAAGGCAGCATAGCATGCTCGAACAAACAGTTGCAGTCCTATATCATCCAACATATCTTACATGTTCATGGCACAATATCAAAGTATCTGCCAGTTAGAGGCAACAGGGGAATCTGACTTTTCATTTACCATTGTCCAGAAGATGCAATGGTTGATATTTTTTAATACAAAAGCTGGACAATAATGAGTTGTGGTGGAATTGGAAGGCAGATTATGAATACATGAATATATATACATATATATATATATATATATATATATATATATATATATATATATATATATATATATATATATATATATATATATATATATATATATATATATATACCAATGGAAAATCATGGGTCATGGGTGATAGGGTGGCAAAGAGTCAGTGTCAGATAGGGGATCAAGTGGAGGAAGGACCTTGAATGTACACATTTGACTGGGGCATTGTTACATTATGGTCACTAGGCATGGGATGCAAGTGACTGGCAAGGATAGCCATACACCAACTCCTTGTGAACAGATCACAAACCACCGCTTCTTTGTTTGCTTGTGATATTACTGCCAGGTGACCTGCACTTCACAAACATGCTCTGTTTGCAAGCAGATTGTTCACACTGCTGTACAATACAGAGAAGTTTGCACGAGTACACGTATGATGGCTAAGGTCTCTGAGGCACACGAAAGTGTGAGCGGGCTTGGGGTTCCCCCAGCCACGGAAGAAACTGGTTCATGGATGGTTCACAAATCACTGTTTGTGTTAGTATGAGTGTCTAACCCGCTGGCTACCTGTTAACAAGCACGTACTGTCAGTACACTGCTTTCTCATGTGTGTTATTAATTCAAAATTGGGACACCTTACCTTCATAAGGATATGGTTGGGGTAGGGACCAGACTGCAAACATTAAATCACATCGAACATGTTCGGCATGGCAGTGACATCCCAGCAACAATTCCAGCACACAAACACACCATAAATCTGACAGCCACAAGTTTGCCACATGGTTACCAACAATATCAGCACATAGAGAGAAAATATTTCAGGGAACTGTGATGCCAAGGAAGCCTCAAGAAAAAACACCCTCAAAGTGTTCTTTCCAACAAAAAACTGAAACATTCCATCTAACTTTTCTGGCTGTGTGAGCAAAATGCATGCATACTGGAAGTTCAGCTCCCCAATGTCATGTAAGTGTCCTTGTCTAAAAACCATGGATGACAAGATCTAGTAAGGACTGAGATGGAACACAAATTCAAATTTAAGTCTACTTATCAAGTTCATAGGTAGAAATTATGGAGTTAGAGCATTGGTGGTATACAATAAGTTGAATGATGCACCAAATTAGAGATCACAGAAAATTACCACGTATGATGATAATGCGTGATTTTGAGGCAAGGCTCACAAAATTTGCCAAAGATGGAGCAGCTTACCACCTATTTGGGACACCATTCCCTCTACCTCAAACAGATCAATGACATGCTTTGCAGGCTAATGATGGTGACTAGGGTTTGAACCAGTTACTTTTTACATTGGGTCGGGGATAATGGTAAGCACAGGGCTTTTAGTTTAAGGTTCAGGAGCAGGAATAAAATTAGTAGTAGTTAAAAGGAGTGCTATGGATGGAGGGAAGGATGGTTGGATTAGCCAACTCAAGGTAAGGTTAGGTACTGATTGGAGAGTGCTGATCAACAGTGACTGCCCAGAGGACATTACGGTTTAATTTTAACAGCAACACCTTTCTAAAGCTATTGCATTCTAACTGATTCATGTCATAATCTTGCATTATATGTTATCATGCTTATGATCTAAAACCATTTTATATTTTCAAGCTATTACAGAAACACGCATGAATTTCAGCACACTGGAACAGCCAGCCTCACTCAAGCCTCCATAGCAAAGACCATTCATTTTTGTTGCAAACAATACAAAACACTCAGAGGCTATCATGGCTGTGTTTGACGCTGAGCCAGCATTGTTTTCACGGCTGTAGTGTCTTGTTCGGTTGGGGGGGAGGGGGGTCAGACACCCTGAAGCTTGGGCTCCAGATACCCCTCCAAACTTTAAGCCAGAAGTGGACCAAACCTAGGGAAAAACTCTCTGATAGCATATTCTGGGGGCAGATTGGGTCACTTCACTGCTCAGCCATCAACTCAGTTTGAGAAACCATTTCTTGCCTGCCTCCTCTTAACATGCTGCATGCTGGAAAATGCAGCATAGTATGGAAGACTGGCATGGTAAACAATTATCCTTGACAGTGCAGCTGGCATGAAAGAGACATGGTTTGGAATTTTAGCTAATTTAAGGGAAGTAACCATTAACCCACTCACATCTTAGCATAATACAGCTGAAACTGTACCAATAGCCAACACACGACACAGCCTTTGCAAACCAACAGGCAACTTTCTCACAGCAAAACAATCGAAGCAGCAAGCAGTAAATGACGATGATGACGTTAGTGTAATCTTGACTTACCTTTTTTATATCGCCATCCGATGCATTCCTTGCTACACCGAGCAACTGGTACAAGGTATTGTCTGCCATGACAGTACCTCTAGCTGCACGTTTCGTCCGTTACCACACAAAGTCAAGCCCACTTTCTTACTAGGTAGTTGGTGCTTCACACTGGCACACCAGGACGATAGCTCACACCACGTATGACTGCACAAAGCACCAAAATTCACGGAAAATGGCGCCGCTCACACTCCACCCGCGGCAAACACACCACGCGCGTGCAGTTCGCAATCCGGAACGTTCGCGACGGGGAATAGCTGTCAGCACGAGGCGAGTGTTCTTAGAAAGAGCACAGCAGATGTCGAAATAGCTTGACGTGTGAAGTTACATTTTGCTTGGCTAGCCTGCTGGCAAAAATGTATATCCATTTCAATTTTTCTGTCGTTTTTGGCAGCATAACACTCATCAGGTTGGCTTAAAATGGAAGTTTGCGAGAAAAACGCGATCTCCGTTAACGACGAGAAGCGTGTCTCCGGCAGCAAAACATTTTGACATTTTGAATGGCTACGTCTCAAGGCACAACCAGGGCCGGCGAATTTGGGAGGGGTAAGGGGAGGGGGCAGCTGCCTCTATCTCCAGAATATATTGAGACTAGGCTTATGAAAGTTCATGGATAGAGGCTGAGTACGAATCACGTTCCTCCCTTGTTCTATATCCACAGAGGGTTCCCTGCCACTCAGTACCATCTATTCCGTAAGAAATTAAATTGTTGAACTGCGCACATAGCGTTCACAACGACGATGAGGATGATCAAAGACAAGTTGTGGGTGAATTGATCATCGGTTTCAGTCATATCATGCAGCTAGGTTGCGTCATTTCTGCGGCCGAGAAGCTCTCGGTAGGCATATGAAAACAAGCCTGTTTTTCCGTGGCCCATGTGATTAGAGAGCAGTTACAGTTTTGTCCGCATGTTTGAGGATTACTTCGACTACCGGTGTCAGCAGATATACAACTGCCAGTAAGATATTTGTTCAAAAGTAAATTATATGCATTAACCATATGCTTTTTGGGATCCGAGCTTCGCCTCAAACGATGGAAGGACAACGGTAGTAATTTCCTGTGTACTAAATAAGGCTCTCTTTGTGTCAGATTGCTCATTATTGGCTAACTTCATGGGCATACGTGCCAGTTTGTGGTACTTTTATGTTATCTGAAAATTGTAACTATTTCATCTCCGATCCTGGCTATTCTTATCTGCATCCCTGCTAGACCTAGCTCACTTTTTGCTCTGGAATGCACACTTGGTACTTATTGTGGCACAATCCTTTAATGGTCTAGTGTATCGATGATGAAAAGAATTCTCGGTCGGACTACCTTCACGCGCAGCAGTGACCTGCCGCACACGACGCCGAAAGGGAGAGACCCACCCCACGCGCCCGAGCAGCACCTCTTGTAATCCTTCCAAGGCTCATCCCGCACCACGATCTGCGAGCGGCTGGCCGGCGCCACCGTGACGCACCGCCCCGAGCCGTGATTGTTCCCCCCACCCAAACATGAGTCACCGCCCCACTCGCCTTACACACTGGCACACGGTCCCGGGGCATGGTCCACCGCTACACCCACCCCTGATCTTCAAAGATCATACACTCACACCAACGTTTCATACTATCCAATCACTCGACACACCATAAAGTTGGCTCGGTTGCCGGCGCACACACTGGCTGCGTCGCAGCGGCATTGTCGCGACTTCTTTCGCCGGCTGCTCAGGACAGGCCAGGATGCCCACCGGTTCCGTCCCAGTCGCCGTCGGTGCGTGCTCCGCGTTGTCCGGGTTGTCAGCGACTGCACCAGAGGCTTCCTGGTGTGACGGGCCCGCGGCCAAGTATAGGGGTCCGTCGTCCTCCTTGTCACTGGCGTCACATCGCGATGCATCGCTGTACCGATGCCGCAGGTTCCGCACGTGCCACGGTACGCCATCCACCTCGGCCACTTGCGATGACACGATCCGCGTGACGACGCCCTGACGGGATGTTGCCGTACATCGCGTACCAGGGCGGCGCATCCAGACGAGGTCGCCAACTTGGAACGTGGGATTACCGAGCCGTTGCCGCGCCTCATCTGGCGCCGGTGGTGACCACTGCGAGTCATCGGCCGTGTCACGCTGGCTGGGCTGCACGCAGTCTCGCATCCGGTACATGTAAATGTCAGCGGCCGGTGCGTCCGCGGCAGAGTGGCCAGAACGCGGGGTGATGTACAGGTGCACGGCCTCTGCAATGGCGCAACGTCGTCGCACAGCGATCACTTTTATCGTGGGATGACTGCGCTCCACGATGCCGTTGCTGCCTGGCTCGTGGACGGCCCGGAAGCGAAGAGCTGTGCCCCACTTTGACGCCAAAGCAGCCATCTGACGGCCACGAAAGACCGTGTTGTTGTCCGCCAGAATTTCTGCCCGCGCGCCGCGCTCGTAGAAGATCGCCTCTAGATGCTGCACAACTTCCGTTCGCATCGGCACGGCGCAGCTGCCGCCACAGGCTGTACCGGGACGGGCCGTAGTCATTCAGGAACAGGTACGATCCACCTTGGTAGTGGGTCACGTTTATCGCGAGACGTGTCCATGTGTCGGGGATGTGAAGCCAGCCATGCCGCCACCGCGTTGGTGTTGGGTCGATGGATCGGCCCACATAGCACCGACCCACAACCGATCGCACGGCGGCCCGCGACGCCTCCAGCGTTATCTCGCGCCTCACGAAGTACAGTGTCCGGCGGATTCCTGGATGGTCGGCACTCTCGTGTGCAGCCATGATCCGCGCCTCAATGTCCATGCTATTGCTGCCGTACGCCGCGTCAGCACCATCATGTACGGCGGCAGCTGCCGCCCTGGAGCCGATGCGCATGCTCTTGTCACGTCCCACGGCGCCTGCACCCCCGGTGCGTGCTAGGATCCTAGCTGGCACACCGTCGTCTACCTGAGTCGCGAGCAGCCATTCGTTTGGGACACGGGTCAGAGTTTCAGCTAGGTTTTCATCCGACCACACCAGCGCGACTGTCAGTGTCAGGCTCAGCTCATCCACCAACTGCCGGATGACATCAATGCGCCGTCGAATCACCATTTCGCCATGCGCCTTGATGCGGAGGCGCGCGCGGCCACTCAGCGCGTCCTCAATCCACCGATGGACCGTAGCGGAGTGAGTACGGAGGTCGATGATCTTCATCCCCCAGGCGATGGCCTGGTTGGTCCCGCGCACCGCCGCATTCCGCTCCGCCATGTTGATGTGTGCTGACATTGCGGTCTCAGGGCGCAGCCAGCAGGCATCCTCTACCACGCCGTCGTCCGGGCTCTCGATAACCACAACTGCAGCAATGGTGCTGGCGTCCGTCCAAGCGATGACCTTTTTCACTTGTCAGGCGCCACGGGCCGCGGGCCGGGTCGTTCGTCCTCAGTCTATCTGAGGTCTGAGAGATCTGGGAGAGGAGTGCCACGTCCGTGGTGGCGTCATCCCATCCGTGCGTGACAGCATTCACCCTGCGCTTCAGCCAAGCGATAGCAAGGCGAAGCCAGCCGCTGACGGGCAGATGAGCCAGCAGCCGGCCGCACCATGCCAGCACAGCGCGCCGCGTGACCTGCTCCGGTGGTGCAGCGACGCCACTGTCGTGCGACCAGTGCAGTTTCCCCTCCACCAGCTACACGCGCAGAACAACAGTCGCCGTCGACAATACCAACATACCAAACTGCGCCTGGCACGGCGCCGCACGGCCGGTCGGCACAGTCGCAACGCCAGGTGCCGACTCAGACAGTCACACTAGCACCGGCCATAGCGATGTCCACATACGACAGCAGACAGCTGTGCCGGCTGAACCAGCAGCACCATTCTTCGCGTCTGCAAGTGACAGGTGGGTTTTTTATCATTAATATGATTATGATTATCAATCTGACGGGGAAGGGTTGAAATTGGGATGATATTGTAATTTTCCTATATATATATATATATATATATATATATATATATATATATATATATATATATGTATACATGAGTTACACCAGATAAAACAGACAGGCTGTCCCCAATACTCAGCCCGCCTACGACCATGCTCCATGTTAAACGGTTCCGTTAAGATTAAGTCTTCAGTGAAGTCCAGTTGTAGAAATAAACCTAGCAAAGTCGTAAAATCCACTTTTACCAAGCCGTGGGGGATCATCGTTGTTAAAACGGTGGCCATACGAGAGCATTGGCTATTAGAGTCAATCAACCGGGATGAATAATAATCTGATGCTAGTACAAATTTAGTCAAATGCCTCAAAGTAGAACAAACTAGTACACAACATCAAATAGAACAAAAGAAGCTATTTGTACGAAATCTCCTTGCAGCTGGTACGGAATACAATTATCCATGTAAAAAATAATGCTGCCCACTCCCATCGCTGCAGCAACTGACTCGAATGTTCAAATATGACGCGTATGCGGCACTTATATACGTGACTCGTACGCGGTTCCTAGCAAGGCGTTTACCAATGGTGGTTGCTTGGATCGCGGGTGCGTCGGGAAGGACCCGTGTGGATGGTATTGGTGAATTGAGGAGGCCTGTGTCATTTATCTGTCTTGTTACATCGGCATGGGCTGTGTTTCTCAAGCCATTTAATCACGTGCTCCTATGCTGCTCGTCTCGAGAGAACAGAGCGGATCTGAGCACAGATAACGTTCCGGTGCATATTTCTGAGCGAGAGGCAGGATTGGAGGCGTGGCCGTTTATTTGTCGTTTTGTGATATGAACTAGTTGGAATGGTGTTTTGGAGGCTTGCTTTTGCGGCCTATAAATCCCACTGCAACACAGAAAATGTTGCATCTTATTTGCTGTCATGCACAATTTATAACCAAATAGGGAGACTCCAGGCTCCCTTAAGCTGTGTTCTGTGGCCAGTGTTAAGTAGGGCATGGCAATGCCATGTTTTGTGTTTTGCAGGGATAACTTTTTTCAAGAAATGAGTGATGGGAATGAGGAAAGCAGAGTAACACATCCTCAGGATATGTAAACAAATGGGGTGATCCCTAGATTTTGACACTTCCTCAAAGTTGGTGGAGGGAGTGGGGGTAGGGTAGAGGAGAGGCTGGATCCCCTCAACTGAATCAGTAACTACTCCCATGGTCTGCATGCATAGCTCATCTTTTATAACATTAGGTCCCTGCATTGATTAACACACATGAAGCCAGAGGATTCATTCCTCCTGGTTCCCAAGCTTCTGTGGCATTTAGCATCTTCTGTGGCATTTTGTTAGCATTTAAAAGAAGTTAAGTAGATAGGGCTGCCAAAAAGATTTGCTTATTTTCATTTTCCAGGAAATAAAAAATGTGTTTATTTATCATAGGAAGCTTTTCTAACCTAATCAATAACACATAAGATCTTTTCATTGCTGCCCACTATCCTTGAATGTGTAGCTGGGAACTGAAGTGCAGTAATGCAAACTATCAATACACATACATTTTTGATCAGACCCATGTTAGGGTCAGAGTTTTGCTCAATTATTGAAGCATGCATTAGAAAACTCCTAGTAAAAATAAGACTGAGCAAATCCAGACAGTGTGCTATAGCTTTCTGTACACTTAACAAATAAATGTGTTCATTGTCCAGACTGTTCCAGCACATTATACTGGAATTTGTCCACTGCAGTGGACAAAGATGATGCTGCATAGCTGAGTATGTTTTAATTCCACTCACCACACATGTAAGAATAAATATGCTTCTTCTTTTTGTTTGTTATGTTTCTTTGCCAGATCTCTTTGAATGGTGTGATCTTTGTGGTACATTGCGCCCTTTGCCATCCAGGCTGTCTAAAGGTACCTCAAGTCTGTTCAGACATATGTAGGATAAGGTAGGCATGGTTATCTGTCCATTTCTTTCTCAACTGTAATCAGGGTATTATTAAATCTGCTATGCCTTGTGAATTTACTGTAAACCTTAAATATTTTTGGTTGCTTGTAATGCCATTACATGTTCAACAAATTAGATAGGTTTGTGGAAGCTGCGATATCTCATAGAAGTGTGACCAAGACTATGTTTGTCACACAAGGCAGTGACAAATACATTGTGGCAAGATGTACAACTACATGAGTTGAGTTGCCACTGTGAAATATAGACCAGCATATGCCAGACTATACTGGTTGCAGAACTGTTGCCCAAGAAAAATGTTGGTTAATGAAGATTCTTGTGCCAACATCATTTGAGATAACTTCTGTTGCTAAACAAGAGCTACTAACCTCCACTCAAACTCAGAACTCGAGAGCAAACTTTGCCTGGTTGTATCTTAATATGGGTATAGTGAAGAAATCATTACCCAGGCAAATGATGTCTACCTGCTCACCCACACCTACCTGCTCCTCAGTCAAATGCCTTAGCGAAGTTAATAAAAATCCATCCTGACATGCCACACAAGGCAGGTTCCTGGCAAGACACGATTTCTGAGTACTGGTTGTGTAATGCTTCATGTAAAAGTCCATTGCATGTTATCTTTCTGTTGGTGGGAATAGCAAGCATGTACTTTCATTCAGCTTGTTTTAACATGTACCTGTACTTAGCTGAGTATGATACTGCTTGGGTAGGCATGGAGTCAATTTGAACCCTGATATCTAAAAACTAATAGAGCTAGAGGCACAAAGTTAACAGGATAGGTTAGCCTTTATACTAACTCACTGGTGTCTAATTTTGATATTCCCAGACTGCAGGTCATGACCTCTTGGGTCAAATAAGGTCAAACAGGGTAAAACTTTGGATCAGTGTTTGAAGCTCCCTCAGATCTTACACATCCATGTTTTACTGGATACCTGTATTGAGCAAAAGTTGATTAGTGTTTGTTTAAGGTCAGTGACCTTGTTTGACCTTTGGAAGGGTATTGTAACCAAAGATCCACTACATTGCCCTTATTTTCAAGTTTCAATAAGCATTAATGATTACACTAAGCAGTGTATTCCTTAAAGCATAAGACTGACTGTTGTTATTTTAGGTCGGTAACCAAAAGGGGCGGGGGGAGGGCGAATTGACTCTCACCCAGGCATGTATTCAGCTTGTCATAAGTATTCCATGAACATGTCACAATTGGATTTCCATTGTCCAGGTTTTGAATTGGTGGCTCATTGGATATGGAACAGAAAAGGTTGGCTGGTACTCATAAATAAGTTGTATCAGGTAGATCTACCATTGTTTATCAGCCATCTGTGAAAAATGCTCATCCATCCTGGAATCGAATGAGATAGCTCAACACTACCTGCAAGATGTCGCAATGGCACAATTTTTTATTACAGTGAAGTCGTCTGAGGGTACGGGACGCTTTTGGAGGATCGTCCAGTCATCATGGACCGTTTTGAATGGAGTGACTCGGCGCTTCAGTTTGCTGAGTCGGAACTGTATCAGCAAAAGAACGTGCAGCTTTACGACGGTGACAACAAGACAGATTTCGACGGGGGCTTGCTGAGTGTGACAAACCATCGGCTCCTCTGGCGCCAGTCCAATGGATCGTGTTTGGCGCTCCCACTGAAGTACGTTGTGCTGGCGGAGAAGGAGGACCACACCTTCTTCCACAGTGACAAGATTCAGATGCATCTGTCGGCGCCCGCTGCGGACAAGCCCGGGGGTCCGGTGAACAAGAGCAGCCACAACCACGTGAAGTTGTCGTTCCGGTCGGGCGGTATGCACGAGACGTTCCAGCGGCTGGATGAAGCGATGAGGCGACAGGACTGGGTTCGGACGGGCAGCTTCTCGGCCACCACATCCGGTGACAAGCGCGGCTACCGAGCGGGCATCGTCGGCATCGAGAAAAAGCTGGTGGCGGAGCAGCAGCAGCAAAGCCAGAACATTACGGACGCCTTCCGCGACCTCACGAAGCTGATGGAGGCGGCGCGCGAGATGGTGTCTCTTTCGCGCCAGATCTCCGCCAAGATCACAGAGCGACAGGGGGGCATCAGCGAGGACGAGACAGTCCGCTTCCAGTCTCAGCTGCTCAGCCTGGGCGTCGATGACCCGGTGACACGTGGCACGCACGGCAGCGGCGACCGCTACCACGTCGAGCTGGCGCGCCAGCTGGCCACTACGCTGGAAGCGCCCGTGCGCGCCGCAGGCGGCATGATGACGCTCACCGACGCCTACTGTCGCGTCAACCGCGCGCGCGGTCTCGAGCTCATCTCGCCCGACGACCTGCTGGCGGCCGGCCAGCAGATGGCGCCGCTGGCGCTGCCGCTGCGCCTGCACGAGCTGCCGTCGGGCGTGCGGCTGCTGCAGCTGGCGGAGCTGGACCAGGACGCCGTGGCCGAGGCCACGCGCCGCCGCCTCGCCGAGGAGGGCTCGCTGACTGCGCAGCGGCTCGCCACGCTCGAGGGCGTGTCCGTGCTGCTGGCCAAGCAGCGCCTGCTTTTCCTGGAGACCAAGGCCGGTGCCTGCCGCGACGAGTCAATCCAGGGGCTCGTCTTCTACCCCAACCGCTTCCTCGAGGAGCCCGAGGCTGGTTAGGGGTGGCGTGCGCGAGGCGATCGCCAGCGAAGGTCCCTCTCAGATGGACGGGGTTAGATACGATTGGTTCTCGTGTGTGCTGAGGTCTGCTTTCTTTACTGGTGCTGAACCTGAGTTCACAAGAATGAGGGGTGTTAGTGTGATGTGTGTATTGTCTGTTATTGTGCTTTGCGTATGTAGCTACCGATTGCGACTGCGATAGCACTGCATTGCGGTGACTGTCCGCTTTTTCCTACTTGAGTCAATAATTTCTCGTGAATTAACATGCTCCCATGCTTATTATACTTTTTGTGCTGGTGCAAGCAGATGAAATCACTGGGTGGCCTCGATGGCAGATGAATGCCCGGATATATCTGTACATATTGGCTGGAATGATTGACAGTATTCCTTGTTGATGACAAAGCTACTGACTGGAGACAATGCGTTCGTACTTCATGGCGATCGGAGTGGCAATACTGTCCCTCGTCCTTGTTCGCTGCATTGCATCGCCACTTGAGTGATATGGTGAGGCCGAGGGGAAGCAGACGTCGTGCTTTGCTGATCGTCGCCGAAGCACTCAAATATAAAGTCATGGCTACGTTTTTTCGCGGTGAAGGTGTGAGTTGTTCAACCGTGCCGGAAGCAATCTGGGGGCCTTGTAAAAGCTGAAGGAAGAAATCCCATTGTCAGGTCCATTCTTTCCAAACATCACGTCAGGACCAGTACATGATGTTCTTATAAGTTGGGGCGCGGTCCCGCTAAGCTCCTCCGCGCCCACGCGCAGATGATAAGCCGTGATATCCCGGCAGTAGCCATTTCGGCTGTAGTAGCGCCGACGCAGTCACTGCGGGAAGCTCTGTGGTGGTTAGTTCACCGCGATCAAACTGTGGGCATTAAAACAACAGATACTGATCCCGGCTCGTGGGGCTGGCTCTGAACAAAAACGATACTGCATGGGTTTGAGGTGCCTTCGATTGAAAGACAAGCTTTAAGTCCGAAAACGGTTTCTAGAAAAGGAAAGCGGAATCTCATGACAACAGTGCATACGGTGGATCAATGATGGTCATAAATCAAGATTGGAAAATTGTCTCAGGCCAGGATCCAGTTGGTGCGCGCATAAGCTTTAAGACTGCTTGTGTCAGTGTCCTACTAACAACATTTCTCCTCCAAACCAGCCGACCTGTCGATCAGTTGGTTGGCTCACATTCAATCCTGACTCACGATAGAAGTTCAAATAAATCGATCCAAACTCGGCTCAACAAGCTGACTGCGGAGTCGATTGCCACTCCGCTCTGAGCCACGCACAAGTCTGGTAACAACCTCTCGCCGTAACAAGCCCACCGATCTAGCGCTGGACATTTTAGCAGTTCGAATGTGAGAGGGGCTCTGTTCCGGACGCAAATATGAAATTATTCCTATTTAAGGTTTTAGTTACCTGGCAATGGAATTCAGTGAATCTTTGACTCATTGGAACACTGAAAGGTCTTTATGGGCGGCAGGCGTAGGACGATGGTTCCGTAGGTGCCGTGCTGCCCCCCCCCCCCCCCCCCCCAGCTCCCCACGCTGAACATTTATGCTTCCCAGAATACTGAACATTAGCCCTAAAGCGAGGGATGAAAACAATTGACTTCAAATTGTTTAAAATCACCAATGTCTTAAAGGTTCCCTCACGTATGAGAAGGTTTATAAAACGACAGCGACAGCATGAACGGCAGCAATGTGTGCTGCCGCGACCGCCCAATCTCACCAATTAACTATGCCTATCTATTGCTAATGTTACCCGCACATCTGATTATTAAACACTAACTGTAAAGCCAATACAGATGGTGAGCATAGTTTTGATAGGTATATTCGTGGTGTTACCGAAACGTGCTTTTTGTTTTTCAAATACAACCAAATTACCGGCTGATGCCGAGCAATCTTTAATTTAGTATCACTGTTTTGTTAGGGGCACCAGGAGCTTTGATGACGCATCAAGCACGATTATTACGCGCTCAAAGCGAGAGGACTCGGTATGTTGTGGTCTACGTTTGTATTGGAAAATATACCAGGTTCTCAGGAAGTGGCCGCTTCCACGCTGTTTGTAAGAATGCCTATGCAGGAAGGCGTCTCGAAAGCGTTGAGAAATTAACAGATGTGTCTATTCTGTATGGTATTTTTTCTCAGTTGTTTGTCAAAGTGGGGCTGGTCGGGTAGCCGGCTGAAAGCCATGGATGCGGCATCAATCCGCCGCCCAGGCTACAAAATATACGCGTTACGCTTAACATATCCAGCGTAGCTGGGGCATTAGGTAAAATATTCAGCTCATGTGCATGGTAAATCTATGCTCTCAGAATTTGCTGCATAGTCAATACCAATTTTGTTGCATCCTTATGCTACAAGGAATCACAATGTTGCATAGGTAATGTCTGGCAAAAATCCTCCAAAACATTTTGATATGATAAAATAAGTTATATGCAATTTGATGCACACAAATGCAGTTTTCAGAGCACCAAGGCTGTGGTGCTTTGGATAAAATTTGTGCAGACCAGCAACTGGCAAGGTTGATGGTGTTCTAAACTTACAGGTAGCTTATTTATCTACCCTTACATTATTTATGTACCCTGACATATGGCTGCCCTGACAATATGTCACTGTGATTAGGATTATGATAAATGGCTTCATTCATGTGCTGCTCAAAAGTTGCATTTGTAAAATATATATTGGTATAGTAACCAAGCTGCAATCAAATAAACAGTTACGGTTGAGAGCTGTTTGAAGCTTTTAAAACATGTTGACCATATTGGGTATTGTGTTTGGTTTGATTGACATTCAACTTTATTTCATGCAGGTGATAATCCCATTGCAAAATATGCACAATTACTGCCTCAAGTGTAGGCCAATAAAGCTCAAGTGGAGGACAGCCACCTTCTTCATTAGAGTTCAGTCTTCTGAATAGCTCTTGGATGATATCTGAATATGTTGCATAGCAGTTAGCTTCATATGCCTGTCAATTGTTAGTTGTGTGGTGTCATACTATCATGGTGTGAAAAATTGTTACCTCAAGATAATTTGTTGCACATTCCTAACTTCACTGAAGATTAACTGTATGTTATCTGGATTAGTCTATCAGAATTGATCTAACCTTATTTTTATTGAACCTGTTTCCCAGAAAATAATATAAAAACATCCACAACAAATGCAAGAACCAACAATGTGGAATGGGTCTCCCACATAATGGAAATTCCAGGTCAAAAATCTGTTGTAGGTTAGTGTGCTCAGTGTCCATTGCCCATTTTCATAACAAGGTTATGTTGTCATTTCATTTCAGCTGGATGCACAAGCTGTGCCTGCCTGCAAGGCTCGCAGTCATACACATCAGTTTGAATCGACGTGCGTGTGTAGCCTGCTCCTTCCTCTGCCGAACCAGTGGCACCTGGCTCCCCAGCAGTGCCATGTCCTCTCCAGCCTCTTCCGCTGGTGGTGACACGACGCGGACTGACCCGCCGCCCTCGGCCCTGCTCGCCGTCGATGCCGAGGCGCCCGCGATGGCCGCAACGTCCGCGACGTTCGCGGAGAGCGGCGCTCCAAGAGTCTTGACTCGAGCTGTTGAGCGAACCGGCGACCCGGGCAAGACCGGCGGAGCGTCCGAGACCGGCGGACCGTCCGAGGCCAGTGATCCGTGTGAGACCGGCGGACCGTCCGAGACCAGCGGTCCTGGCGGGACCGGCGGACCTTCCGAGACCACCGAACCGCCCGAGTCTAGCGGACCGTCCGAGACCAGCGGTCCGTGTGAGACCAGCGGACTTTCCGAGACCAGCGGTCCGTGCGGGACCGGCGGACCTTCCGAGCCCGGCGGACCGCCCGCGTCCAGCGAACCGTCCGAGGCCAGTGGTCCGTATGAGGCCAGCGGACTTTCCGAGACCAGCGGTCCGTGCGGGACCGGCGGACCGTCCGAGACCAGCGGACCGCCCGAGTCTAGCGGACCGTCCGAGACCAGCGGTCCGTATGAGACCGGCGGACCGAACGGGGCTGTGGATCCTAGTGACGGCGTGTCTGCGAACGTGTCCGGGGGCGATCAGGCCCGCATGGGTGCCAGTGATCGACGCGGGCCGGCCGGCCCAGCAGCGGCAAGCGCCGCAGCGAAGACCGCTGGCTCGGGCGTGTCATGCACCCCAGAGACGGTCTGCGGTGCCGAGCAGTCAGGAGCTCCTGCCAGTCTGACGCCCTGTTCAGCACCAGTGTCCACGGACCAGGTAAGGCTCTCCCCCTGACATGGTGGTCAACGCTACCGCCTGCGAGCTGCTAGGTTGGGGGGGGGGGGGGACGGAGGGGCTTGTCAATGTGTGGAGTGCGCGTCTGTCTGATTTATTCTATGGTACAAGCATACTTCAAATATTTGAAAAACGCGGCTTAATTTCGCTTGAGCGTGCGTTCCTCTTGAGTGAAGTGCTGATGGCCTCACCACATGGGGCTGTTTTAGTTGGCTTCTGAGTCGCACATGAATTATTTGCACCTTGTGCCGAACAGGGACACGCCCCTGGTAGCTTGTCCACTTAATTCTTGATAGGTCCACTTCATTGTCGATACGTCCTTGATACGAGCGGATTGTACAAACTTTATACCGTACATTTGGGGCTAATGACATTTTCGTGCTGCGTGGGTTTGTTGTCAGACAAGTGGTCTTTCGTGATTGAACAATAATAGCTCGGTAAATTATGCTGGCGCTTTATGCGCACAGTTGGCAGCTGACATGTATCCACTCAGTAACGGCTGTGTATTCAACTTTCGCAGCCGACCTCCATCATGAACATTAAGACGGTTGATTGAAAGGGACAGTCCAAAGTCGTGTTCAGAGGTGGCATAAATGAATGTCATAAATGCAAAATTGTTCCGTGCTACAAGCTCAATCGAGTAATCTTCAGCCACACTGGTGTCCCGAATGTGCATGTTTTTCACACCATACACTCCCGTGCTGGGATTTTTTTTATCAGTTTCTTCTTCCGCCACTCGTGATCGACCAAGCATCAGACCTTCAACGGCCAACCCATTATAAAGGCGCGCCGGGCAAGGCAGCGTGAAGGAAGGTCGGAATATGTGGATGATTCGTGTCAAATGACAACGGTTTATCGACCGGTAAAGAAAAGTGAGAGTGAAGGGGGGAGCGGTCTGGAGTCTGCGACTGTGATGTATCGTTGCATCGTTGACACCCAACTGCACGAATTTGGTCTCACTGTGCGCCTGTTGCCTTTGCGCGTTGTTTTTAGTAGCTCTAAATGATAAATCTTTCGAGCAGATGGCGCTCCTGTGCAACCGCTAGAGGGCAGCGGCTGCCTTGTCTTACTCCACCGCCAGACGCAGGCAGCTGCCGGTATAATTCGTGGGCTTCGCCTTGCTGACAGTTACTAATGACACTTGTCTCAGCGTAAGCGTGCACTTACGTTATCATCGTAGCGCTGAGGCTCGTGCTGGGTGTGCCTCGACCGTGGGGCGGATGTCATATGCCACGCCGCCTTCCTTCTAGGCATCTATTATCAGTGTTTTGTATCCCGTAGTGGAGTTGCGCCGCCGTAACGGTACGTTGTACGTACGCGGGGCTCTTAGTTGGGGTGTTCATCATCTGGGGAATAAGTCTTTGCCGATTGGGGAATAGGTTCCATGCCAAACGCTCAAGCTGAATCGCTTGCGTTACCAGTCCGGCAGCTTTCCTGTGACGGACTTGTTACTTCCATGATGTGCCCTCGGTGGGTTGGACAAGTTTTTCTCACTGGGCAGTTTTTGCAAGGCAAAAAGCTGATAGACAGCCCCATCACCATTTGGCACCGCATTAAAGCGGAGCAAAAGTCGTTATGTCCCGATTCTTAAGTGACTAGATCATGCCAACAGCTAGCAGTCACCTCAGATTAATCTTAACGCTTGCGAAAGCAAAGTGGAAAAGGCGGCTTACTTTGGCCGAGGAGTGATCTTTAGAGGCAGTTGCTCATAGTAAAATGGAAATTAAAGGTGACATAGAGGGCAACAATGGATGCAAGGCCAAACAATATGATGATGTCGATAGCAGACACTCTCTGAGACTGTGTATCTTAATAAATACTATACAGTTCGCTGTTAACTTCAACCTTAAATTCGAATGAAATACAATAAGCCACAAAATTCACTACATTTCATTGGAATGCCCTTTTCAGATGAGTTTGATTTTTCAACTGCATGGCATCTCTCGGCCAAGTTTTCCAAATTTATAGCTTGAACTCACTGAAAGAAGTCATGTCGGGCGAAATATAGTGCATTTTGCGGCTCATTGTGTTTCATTCGAATTGGATACTGAAGTTAATAACGCACCGTGAGGCTTCAAGTGATTGTATACTAGCAGTCTTTTTTCGCGTGCTAAAAGTTATTAAAGCAAATGTCCCCCTTGATGTGGGGATTTAACTGAGATAGCCAGCTCATAGACTATGGGAGATGTTTTTAACAACCTTAACGTCAGTACCTAAAAATACTGGCTTCAGATCTCGCCCACGTTATTTTTGGGGTAAATCTGGTTTTGAGTAGTTTTGTGGGTTTAAGAATAACATTATCGTGACGACACAAGGCGACGAGAAAGGTTCTGATTGGCCGATCAGTGCTACGTGCAACGGTCGAGGGACCCGTGCTTTTTTTTGGAAGTGGTTAGTTGGACTGAGACGTCACGTGTGGTGTGACGTAAAAGGCTAATGTTTTCATCGTTATCTTCTAAAGCGGTGTGCTTCTTGACAAAAATACGTCACCATTCTGTTTCTGGCTTATTCTGTTCACGCATGTGTTGTGCCGTTACTCTCTTGCACATGTTTTTACCATGCTATCTTTTCTTGAGCACACCCAAGGCGCATTCACTACAGACTCGTAGAAAAAGTGCTAGATAGGCCAAAACAATATCACTATATTTCTGATGAAAAACCTTCGTCGGGTGACTATCCATACTTACCATTGGTTAGTGATTCGGTGAAAAATTGCCATCCGAAATATAGTTATATTGTTTGGTCTATTTATTATTTTGTGAGTGGGTTTATGTGGCTTGTAGTTAAAGTGCCTTACATATGATCATGCATGAATTGACTCAGAGAAGGGCAAGGACTTATTGCATTTTCTGATCACTCTTGAATGTATGACACTTACTTAGACCTTTCCTGAGTACTCCCTTCGCATGGGGGTTATTATTATATGCATATATCGTATCCATCCATACCTGTCCGGCCATGTAACGTTTTTATACACTCAAAATGCAATGGTAATACAAATCGTCATGCTGGCCGGCATAAATGTAGGTCAGTATAGGTTATAGGCCAGTGACCTTAGAAGAAATGCTCCTTTTTAAAGAGATTTGTGGTGCGATATATCATGTGCTGCGACTATTTTTACAACTGCGTCTTTTATCATTTTATGTAGCCATAGACAAGCGTCTTTGAGGTAGGGACGCCGTCCTGCTAGTTATGATATTCAAGCTCAACGGTTCTCCTGCCAAACGAATGTTAGGTAGTTAGATATCCTAAGTTTCAGTTAAATATGCTGAAGAATGTCATTATCATGCATATGATGCTTTTGTTTCCCCATAAGTTTCCTGTTCAGTATTCTGAAGAATTGTCATGTTTCATATGTCTGGGATTTACCGTGCTCGAAAAAGCGTGCTTTGCAATCACAACTTTTTTTTCGTTTTAGGACCAATAAATTGAGATGCTTGTTTTTTTGTGAAACCCTGTTACCAAAAATGCTGTCGTCATGAAAGGTGACTTTGTGCCCGACATGTTTTTGAAAGCTGCTTCACACTGGCTATTCTGAGGCGATATCATTGCGGGAAGTGAAATCACAAGCACGTAAGACTAAGCGAGATCAGCATGCCTGTAAGAAATGGAGAACACAAACTCAACTCTGATAGCTGATTACTGGACATTGTAGAGGCCGGATGTCCTTATTATTTATTTTCCCCATTGTATTCTGCTGAGTTATGCAGGAAACATTGACGTTTCAAACGACTTGCCGATTTCTGCGTGGGACTCAGCAGATACCGAGGTGGGACTCGCCAGAAGAAGCGACCATCAGGAATTCAAAGCAGCCAGTCGTCTTCGAGACGTGTCAGCTGAGATATGGGCCGACGGACCGCACACGGTGCGTCGCTGCCAAATGTCGGACGGCTCATTTTGAGGGCGGACGACGGCGGACGGTTGCAGCCAGAGACAGGGGCGTTTAGTGCGTGTTTTGTGGTCATACATTACGATCAGTGCCGTAGACCATTCGTTATTCACTGGAACTTCGCTGATTGCGTTCGGGATATCCGCTCGCACGGAGAGTCGGCAAATGGCCATCATTGGCCAGACAGATGACAAAATAGCACGTTTGACATCGTCCCGTTTCTGCTGTGACGTAATTTTGGGATGTCGAGCCCATGGCAGACAATCGACGCCATTTTTTTTATTCCCAGATGACGTCCGTCGTTGGATCCAGTGGTTATTCGTTTTGACTTTTACTTCAATGCGGCACCGCTTGGAGTATTTCACCTCCCGCGATATCCCGCGGGGAATGGAGGGGGGGCGGGGGCAACCCCATGGTTTCTGAGGATTACATTGCCAGATCAGGAAAGTTCAAATATCACTCGATTACCCTTATGAGTAGGACCCGGAGCCGTTGGATTCATACTTGTCACGTGAATGGTAGCATCACAGGGAACACAAAAAATCCTGAAAACAGAAGGACTTGTTCTTGCGCTTTAGAAACATACCGTGACGTCAGCAAAGACGAACGATGAAGGTTAGGCTACGTTAAGGCCATGTGATGTCAAGGTCAGGGTACTTGATAAAACAGGACTTTTCTGTTTTTCGCTTCAAGTGGCGTGGCGATGTCATTGGTGTGACAATATGCCACTTATATCGACTTGCATATGAAAAATCGGTGTGACAAATTATTTTGTCGCACTGCCCATAAGATGACCTCGCATGGCTCATGATACACACAAAGTTGGTTTCCTAGACATGACTGTGGGTACTCAAATGCACGCATATTTTTTAATGATTAACCCTCGCACTTACTGGGGGGAGGGGAGGGGTAGGCATCCGTCCCAAACAGTCAATTCATGGTGCGTATCGTCTTGTATTATTTGTGTATCACCGAATATATATATATATATATATATATATATATATATATATATAAGACATCCAACCGACCGTCAAACTGTATTATCAAAATCAAATGATATCTGCTCACAAACAGGACGAAAAAGCTTTAC